TATCCAAATAGGAAGGGTGATGCATCCCAACTCCATGGGGACAGAAGCACCCACACTGGGGACCCTCCCAGATCTCACCGTAGGGGTCTCTTCATCTGGCTGTTCATCTGTGTCCTTTACCATATCTTTTAATAATCTGGTTTACATAAGGAAGTGTTACCTTGAGTTCTGTGAGCCACTCTGGTGATAATGTATCAAACCATGGGGGGAGGGGGCATTGTGGGAATCTATGATTTACAGCCAAGTTGGACAGAAGTTGTAGGTAACCTAGAGACCTACTACTTGCAACTGGTAACTGAGATGGGATGACAGTCTGACAGTCTTGTGGGACTGAATCCTTAACTTGTGGACATTTTCTCTGGGTAGATAGTACATGAATCGAGTTGAATTGTAGCCACCCAACTTGTGTCAAGAGAATTGCTTGGTGTGGGGAGAAACTCCACACTTTGGTGAACAGAGGAAGGTATTTTGTGTGTGTAGTAAAGAGACACAGAAAAGATAACACCAGGAGGAAGGACTGGGTTTTTCCTTACACAAGGAAGAGAAAGAGAAAGGAGGGGGTAAAACTGGATTTTTCCTAGTATGCTTACAGTATCATCCCTAAAATTAATAAAGAGATAAATGGACAAATAGGTCTTTAATATAATTGTCCAATGTTTACACTGCCATCGTCTTACTTAAAAAAACTTAAGTTTTTTGCTGATCAAGTAAAGTCCACAAATTTCAATTGGTTGATATGCCTCTTCCATCTTAATGTTTAGGTTCCCTTTCCATCTGTGCTTTTTTTCCTTCGTAATTTATTTGAAGAAACTATGTTGTTAGAGCATCCCACAGTCTGTCTTTTGGTGGTTACATCCCATGGTGTTGACATAGTCCTCTATCCTCTGTAATTCATATAAATTGGTTAAGATCTACGTACAATTGCCTCTAAGGCTTGATCAGATTTAGGTTCAATTTAGTTGTTTCCACTGATTTTTGAGTCCCCAATTCTATGTATTAGATACATTTCTGGGATAGTAGAAGCTACCAAAACACAAAACAAAACAAAAAGCATTATACTGTGCATTCAATCAGATGGACAACTACAAGACATATCTCATTTCATTTCATTTTGCTTTAAAGCACTTCACAGATACTGTGTTTTTACAAAATGAAGGTCTGTGGCAACCCTGCATCAAGCAAATCTATTGGTGCCATTTTTCCAACAGCATTTGCTTATTTTGTAGCTCCTTGACATGTTTTGGTAATTCTCAGAATATTTCAAGCTTTTATTATTATTATTATTATTATTATTATTATTATTATTATTTCTCAGAATACTTCAAGCTTTTATTATTATTATTATATTATTATTTGTTACAGTGATCTGTGATCAGTAATCTTTGTACTACTATAATGGTTTTTGAGGACCACGAGCTGTGGGGCTTACATAAGATGGGAAACTTAGGGGCAGCCCCAGTGGCGCAGCGGTTTAGCGCCGCCTGCAGCCGAGGATGTGATCCTGGAGACCTGGGATCAAGTCCCACATAGGGCTCCTTGCATGGAGCCTACTTCTCCCTCTGCCTGTCTCTGCCTCTCTCTCTCTCTCTGTGTGTGTTTCTCATAAATAAATGAATATAGCTCCTTAGAAGCAGCAAAATATTTCTGTGTTCAACAAAGATATTAACCTCTAAAAAAAAAAAAAAGATGGGAAACTTAATTGGTAATTGTTCTATGTGTGTTGACTCCCCAGTGGCTGCTCCCCCATCTCTCTCCCTCTCCTTGGGCTTATTTCCTGAGATACAATATTGAAATTAGGCCAACTAATAACCCTACAATTTGCCTCTAAGTGCTCAAATGAAAGGAGTCACTCACTTTAAATCAAAAACTAAAAATGATTGAGGAAGACTTGTCAAAAGCCAAGATGGGCCAAAAGCTAGACCTCTTGGGCCAGTCAGCCAAGTTGTGAATGCAAATGGAAAGTTCTTGAAGGAAAAGTATAAATGCTACTTCAGTGAAAACATGGTAAGAGAGTGAAACAGCCTTAGCGCTGATAGGGAGAAAGTATGAGTGATCTGTAGAAGATCAAACCAACTATGTAATTCCCTTAAGCCAAAGCCCAATCCAGAAAAAGATCCTAACTCTTCAATTCTATGAAGACTGAGAGGTGAGGAAGCTGCAGAAGAAAAGTCTGAAGCTAGAAGAGGGTGGTTCATGAGGTTTAGGGAAAGAAGCTGCCTCCGGAACATCAAAGTGCAAGTGAAGCAGCCAGTGCTGATGTAGAAGCTGCAGCAAGTTACCCAGGGGACCTAGTTAAGACCCTTAACAAAGGTGGCTACACTCAACAACAGAGTTTTGATGTAGATAAAACAGCCTTCTAACAGCTATTGCAGCTGGTGTCTTTGAGTTGAGGCTTTTGTTTACCATTCCAAAAACCTAGGGCCCTTAACAATTATGCTAAGCCTACTCTCCCTATGCTCTCTAAATGGAACAAAGCTGAATGACAGCACATCCGTTGTAACATGGTTTACTAAATATTTTAAGCCCACAGTTCAGACCTACTGCTTAGAAAAGATTCCCTTCAAAATATGACTGCTCATTGATAATGCGCCTGTTTATCCAAGAGCTCTGATGGAGGTGGACAAGATTATTGTTGTTTTCATGACTGCTAACACAACATCCATTCTGCAGATCAAGGAGTCATTTTGACTTCCCAGTCTTACTAGTTAAGAAACATATTTCATAAGGCAGTAGCTGTCATAAAATAGTAACTCCTCTAATGGACCTGAAAGCCTTCTGGAAAGGATTCACCATTCTCAGTGCCATTAAGAACATTCCTGATTCATGAGAAGAGGTCAAAATATCAACATTAACAGGAGTTTGGGACATCCAACTCCCATGGATGACATGGAAGGATTCAAGACCTCAGTGGAAAAAGTAACCATAGCTATGGTGGAAACAGCAAGAGAACAAGAATGAGAAGTAGGGCATGAAGATGTGACTGAATTGCTGCAATGTCATAAAACTTTTAACAGATGAGAAGTTGCTTCTTATGGACGAACAAAGAAAGTGGTCTCTTGAGATGGAATCCACTCCTGGTGAAGCAGCTGTGAAGACTGTTGAAATGACAACAAAGGATTTAGTTATCAAGAAAACTTCATTGAGAAAGCAATGGCAGGGTGTGAAGGACTGACTCCAATTCTGAAAGGTCAGCTATGGGTAAAATCTATCCAACAGCATCACACGATACAGAGAAATCATCATAAAAGGAAGAGTCAATCAATGCAGCAAACTTCGTTTTTGCCTTATTTTAAGAAATTGCTACAATCACCCCAACCTTCAGCAACCACTACCCTACCTAATCAGTTATGTTGCTTAGTGATATCATCTGAATATTAAGTCAAAATAAATACAACTATGATTTCCTCTTTATTATTCCTAGCACAGGTAATCACTGACAAAGATATAGTGAAGGAATGCAGCAGGAACTGATTTTCACATTATTTGCATCCAACAATCAAAAATGATGTGGCAGAAACTACAAATTCCCCTAACACACAGTCGCTTTCCTCCAAGAGAACGCCCAAATTGTAGCTGACCATACACTGAATTAGGATGACTTCCCAGCGTCTCTTGCTAGACGTGAGCACATGACTAAGTTCTGACCAGTAAGACTTAGATGGAAGTGTTGTATGGCAACTTCCAAAAATCTTCTATAAAAGATCACTGGTACTTGCCCATCACTCCTGTTGTCTTTGTCCTTCCACCAACAGAATGCAGATGCGATGATTTGAGCTCTAGCCACACACCATGGTTTAGGAATTGAAAGCTACACCTTGGGTATGATAGGAGTCCTTGATCTCCAAAAACTTCATGGAAAAGAGCATGCCCATAAGTCCTGGAGTCTCTATCTCTGGAATTTTATATTAAGAGAGAAAGAAACTTTTATCTTTATCATCAGGAAAACTCCATGGTATCAGCTTCCTTTGTATGAAGGAGGAAGGCAGCTTTATAAGTGGCAGTTTTTCAAAGACATACACTGTGGAGCCACATCTCTCTTAGTTGGAGATAATAAGGTATTCTTTCTTTTCTTACTCATGAAAAATGTAATTGCTCTCTCATAGGAGTCAGAGAACTCAGGTTCGAGTCTTATCTCTGTCCTTAACATGCAACTAAGTCAACCTCTCTAAGGCTTTGTAAGACACTTATGTAGTAAGATATTCTTGAGCCTTAAAATATAACATATATGGAAGTGTTTCATAGTATAAATAACTATACACAGATAGTTGATGAGAATTATAAGATACCTTCAGGTAGAAACTCTATCTCAGACTGTATCCCCAGTAACAAGTACTCAATAAATATTTGTTGAAGAGATATTTTTAAGTCCTTGCCAAATGAGTGAATTATTCTGCTTTGGAGTGAATAAAGTTCAAAGGTCTTTAATATTAATTAAAGTATTACTTGAGTTTCTCAGAGCCACAATTCCTAATTTTGCCATCAGTCAAAAGATACAAAGGTGTGAAAAGATAAACCTAGCTAATTCATTTATCTGGTTCAAAAGTGGATCCCAATTTGCTATAACAAAATAATTTAAATAAGAATAAAAGTTGTGGTACAGAAATAAAATTTTTATGAACTTCTTCTTTCCCTTGAAATTACAAAGTTGTTTTATGTGTATTTAAAAATGTGTTTTATGTGTATATATATTTTTTAAAGATTTCGTTTATTTATTCATGAGAGACAGAGAGAGAGAGAGAGAGAGAGAGAGAGAGAGAGGCAGAGACATAGGCAGAGGGAGAAGCAGGCTCCATGCAAGGAGCCCGAAGCAGGACTCAATCCCGGGCCTCCAGGATCACACCCTGGGCTGAAGGTGGCGCTAAACCACTGAGCCACAGGGGCTGCCCATTTCTTTTCTTTCTTTCTTTCTTTCTTTCTTTTTTTTTTTTTTATAAAAGACACATTTTAATACTTAAACTACTAACCCTACCATATCAAATGAAGGATTTCCTCACACTGGACCATGGCTAAAGTACTTTATTAAATTAAGTATGTAATTTGCAAATGGTTTCATAAGAAATTTTAAAAGCAAAGTTATAAAACATTTTCAATAAAAAAGTACAGAGTTAACAGCAAAATTACATTTTCTTTATAGTACAAATAAAAACATTTCATTTCTGATATACTGTCTGAAAATTTTATAATATATTCTCCAACTGATAGCTGCAATATTACATTTTAATGAGAAGTTTTGTGGTTAATTTCAATCATTTGTTAATAACAGGTTCATCATTTGGACCATAAAAGTCAACTGCTCAACTTTAAGGAAAATAATAAAGTCTGTCATTAGATAATGTTAAGTTACAAAAGGCTCTTCGGGATATCCATGTATTCCAGCCTTGCTTCTCTACTAAATTCTGTAGAGGCATTAAGTAATATGTAAACTTGAATTACATTTTAAAAATAAGCACCATTAACATACATTCTACATAAATTACCTTTGAAATGACACTTTTTTTGTACACATTTTACTATGTAAATAAAAATAAGCAATATTTAACCACTACACAGAAAATTACCAAACTTCACTTCATTGCACAATGGAAAAGCACTTAGAAAAACCACTTGGAAAAACAGCACACATTATTTTTGTCTTTTTTAAATACATTTTGTCATTTTCTTAAATTGAGAGCAGTTAAAACATTGTCAGAGCAATTTCCTGAGTCTCAAGAGTTTCCAATTTCCAGCTCAGAAATAACCAATCTTGCTATTATAACATCCTTTTTCTAAGCACACAAAACACTTGAATTTAAAAAGAGAAAGACCAAAATAAGGACTGGAAACAATCCAACAGAATTGGTTAGCTTTTCCTCTCAAAATGTGTTATAATACCAAAGACACTTTAAAAGTGTAAGTCCGAATTTCTACTACATAATATGTCCTATATTTAAAGGCCATAGAATTGTAAATAGTATGGAAACACTAATAAATTGGGGGGGAAAAAACTCAACTTGAAAATAATAGAGATATATGAACAGCCAATAAATCCAAGATAACATGCTTCCATGTCTCATGTTGAAGGAAGTAGATGATTTGAAAATACTGTTAAAGAGACTCCTTTAAAAAAAGAGAGAGAGAGAGAGAGAGAGAGAGAGAGAGAGACTCCTTAGTCCAACCCACTTTCCCCTGTGGTTTCTACATTAGTTCTCTTTTTTTCTCCTGGTAGAAGAGAAGACTACTGAAAAGATGTAATTGTTACTAAGACCTTCCAAACTACAGAAGTGGTGTACTTTTAGAACATTGATACACTTGTGAAGAGCCATTCTAACGAGTCATCATGTATTAGCACAAATATACCAATACCTGAAAACTTTGATAACTGATAACTCCCTACAGTTTCTACTTTTGACATATAGGGTTTGGAATGAGCAAGAGAAGAATCTGATAATCCCCAAACTATGTTTACCTTTGGCATACAGAATTTAGAAATGGGCAAAACAAGAAAGGAGAAACTATAAAGTTTTCTTTCATAATTACATGTTGTTTAAACTATGCTAGTCAGTTGGGCAGGAGGCAGTTTAGGATTAAACAACTTCATAAAAACACTTGAGATACTCAAAATTTCCCTACATACTTATGAATGATGATTAAGAAAAAATACCCTAGGGCAGCCTGGGTGGCTCAGTGGTTTAGCACTGCCTTCAGCCCAGGGTCTGATACTGGAGACCCGGGATCGAGTCCCATGTCAGGCTCCCTGCATGGAGTCTGCTTCCCCCTCTCCCTGTGTCTCTGCCTCTCTCTGTCTCTCTGTGTGGGTCTCAAGAATAAATAAATAAAATAAAAAGAGAAAAAAATACCCTAGATTTACCAAAATAAAGCCTAAAATTAAGGTTGGTACAGCAAAAAAACATAGCTTGTTTCATTTGGTTTCTGCCCACAAAATACCTCATCCCTTGTTCTTTTTGATTGCTCCCACATTAATCATAATTATAATAACAATGAAATAAATTTAGCTGAAGTGCACAAAAGTGAAGCTTTTTAAAACCGGGTGAAGAAATATGAAAACATGGAAAGTGAGTATGCAGCTGCACACACTTGAATAACTTCAGATTTAGCATTGTTATTCACATTTCTTAAATCATATTAATTTATACATAGAAATATTTATTTCATTAACTATATTTTTATAGTAAGTTCTTGAACTGCTTTATTTTTAATGTATATAACTCTTCTAGATATTATAAAAAACATATGCTAAACTGTTGGATTTTTTTAACAAATTATTATCAAACAAGAATAATATTTCAATACCACTCACTGTTTCTAAATAATAAACATTTTTATTTTTGTGGAAATAAATTTAATGATACAGCTCTTTTAAAAGCATGCTTTCATGATATGTAAAAATGTGTTTTTGAGTTTTATTTTCATTAAAATGTCTGTTCTTTTGAGAAAACATTCTGTAATTCAGGATTCTTTCAGTAACAACTCAACCCTGTAATTCCTGATCCAAATGACTTTTAAGCTTATCAAAAAAGCAACATAACCATTTGTTAAATTACATATATTGGAAATATTCTCTATATCCAAAGTCAAATTTACTCAAACCATTGTTTCATATTGGAAAACTATACTTTACCACACTAAACTTGTATAAATGAAATTATAATTGACATATTAATAAGACTTTTTATAGCTCACACAAAAAAGAAGTCAATGAAAGTTTCCTTTCAGAAAGTTGGCTCATCTTAAAAACAAATGTAAAAAACGTTTAAATTGTAAAGATTCCTTTTAAGATTATATCAAAAATGTTTTCTATATTTGTTTTAAATTAATAGGACTTTGGCCTACTGCAGTTTAGAAATCATATGCCTCAAATATAAAATATAGTTCTTTAGTATCATCTTGAAAACCACTTACACAGCTCTAGAAGTTCAGTAAGACACCAATACTTGGTCGATACCTCACCATTTCTCCTTCTCTAAAAACTTTTCTGTCTACAGAAAGTATAAAAGTGTAATATAATCTCAGGCTCCAACTTTCCTCCTAGAAAATGCACACATACACGCAACATAAGGTAAGAGATCAAGATATATACAAAACAAAAGAAAGTGCAAACGGCATGTCTTCCTTCCTGTAGAATATGGCAAAATGAAATGGTTTTTTGTAGTTAGTTTTGAAATCAAAAGTATTCAAGTGTTTTTTGTCAGATTTCCTTCTTCTTTTAATACAAGGCTTTGATGGGCATGAACCAGGTCTCAAAGCACTTTAAAAACCTCTCAAAGATGCCTTTAGAATTTTACTAAATGTTAAACAACAATTTATATAAAGGTAACATTTTCTGAGAAAGAATCAGAGCACTTCAAACTTTAAAACTGCAGCTGATAATTTTCTTAGACATTTTATAATCAATAAAAATTCTCTTTAATATTTTTAACAGACAACCTATTTGGCATTTGATTCAGTAAAAAATTAAACTTCTCTTGAATTCTGAAAAACATCATAATGTTTTGTTACAACTGGACATTTCGAATAATAAACACATATTTACAGGAAATTGACTAAATTATCACAAATAAACAAATTTTAACCTACAAACCTTCACACTCTAAATCAAGGATTTTTTTTTTTTTTTTTTTACTTTAGCATGACTTTCAAGCACCCTGGTTTAATTTCAGAGAACCTACAGAAATGAAAAAAAGAGTTATTTTAGGTAAAAACTTCAAACTGGTTAAGGAATATATCATGCATGTAATCAATTCCAAATGTCTTTGCTAAATGTAATATTTACTATCAAAGTACTCTCCTTTTTAAGTCAATCATCCGGGACCATTATCTATGCTTATGGACCTTATAATCCACTGTAAAAATAAATAATCCTAAGGCTAGGGGTTACTCCTAACCTAAAAGTTATTTAAGACTTTTCAAAACTCTCAAGCCTGAATCTGACCTTCATGAAGAAGCGCATGCTGTATCAACGGTAAGATGATGTCTGTATTAAATTATTTTATTATTCATTGAACACTAAAAAGAAATCTCTAACATAATCAGTAAGTCTAATTCATCAGGCCATGATATGCTTCCAAGTCCCTCAGTGTGAAATTAAAAAACACTGGTCTCTACAAGAGATAATTAATACTAACATGATAATGTTCTAGTCCTGAACTATTCCTTTTGTAATAGAAACTCTAAAATGTCATGTTTTCATGATCAGAATTAATGCTACCATTTTCTATAATGTAGCCAAACAACATTTTTTACATGGCATAAACAAAATATGCTACGCTAACTAAAATTAGAAGGTGGGGGGAGGTTGGTACCTAATTATAAACATCCTCAAGGAATCTATCCATCAACAGACCTTTATTCTTGGACTTTTCTTGTCATTTCCTGTTACTGACTTATAATCACTTAATGAAAAAGGACATTTCATGTTTATCAGCTAAGATCATTAATGGCACTTGACTTATTGAAGATGTATAAATTACTACTGACTTCTGCTAAAGTTTAAAAAATCCAAATTATAATCATATTTTAGCAGAAACCTCCAATGCCTTCCAAAATCCACAAAGGAATAAAGGAATAATAGTAACTTTAAACTGGTGTGTGTGTTGTGTGTGTATATATATACACACACACACACACACAACACACACACTGGTGATATATAATCTATTTTAGATAACACATTATCAAAGAAATACAACTATACATACTTTCCGTTAGATTTTAAATTTATGATAGAAATAGTTTTGTCAGGTAATTACTTCAAAAAGGAACACATTTTTTCTTTCGTTTCTAGTTTTCTGAACATCATAAATCCATCAGGGAATGTTATATCATAATTTGAGTATGAATCTGTGACTAAAATCAGATGGTTAAATTTAGCTGGCTATTTTAGTAAATCATCTGAGCATACTATTAATGTTTACTATCTGTATGGGCAATTGCCATGATCAATAAGAGAAATCTATACTCACCTGAAGCTATGGCTTGTGAGGTATTTAATGACGGCTGGTTTGATGCGTGCAACTCCTCCTTGGCTGTGGTTTCCTCTTCCCGTAATCACAGAGAGATAGGACTTACCACCATTCTGCTTAAATTCTGTTATAACAGGAATTGGAAGAGTTGAAATTCATTTATCTTACGTTCTCAACAGAAAACAAACTTTACTCAAACACATGTGAAATTACTTTTTTTTTTAACTAAAACAGTTGGCACTTTTATTTTCACATTTCACAATACAAATGAAAATTTGTGCCTTTTTTTGGTCCCACTACTCCCCTGCAAAAACTATTCTCTGATAGGAAGGGGAAGCAAGTCTTCCTTGTCATGCTGTTAGAAAACACCCAGAGTCACAGCACCATGATCTCCTGATGAAGTAGAACAAGTAATATAAACTGAATATAAAGAGATTCCTATCTCTCCTTATCTGTTTGGTCGAGTCATTCCTGGCCAAGTAGGCACCATCTTGGGATGGGCAGGAGGTCTCATCATTGGGGGCCCAGGCATCATTGGCATGTGGCCTCCCATAGGTGGCCTCATTCCAGGAGCAGGTCCCATTGGCATCATCCCAGGAGGAGGAGGGCCCATCACTGGCATCATGGGAGGGCCCCCAATATGGCGGGTCTGCATCATACCAGGGCGAGGAGGACCCCCCCAATATGGCGGGCCTGCATCATACCAGGGCGAGGAGGACCCGGGAGACTGGGGGAAGGTGGGATCATTGCCTCTGCAGGAGGAGGAGCAGAAAATGGAGTAGGAGGCATCTTTCCTTGCTGAAATGCAGTAGTTGTTTTGTTGATCAGGCTCTGAGTCTGCTCTTCCATCCATTTCTGATAGTAGTCTTTCACATTCTCTTTGTGTTTCCTACCACTGCAGTGTGTCTTTCTCACAGATGGAGATTCATGGGTGAGGTATGTGTCGCAGTAGTCACACTAAAACTTAGGCATGTTGCTCTGCAGGCCGTTGGCCACTCTGTCCCCGTGAAATTACTTTCATGGGGATTTAAAAATTTATAAATTCAAAAAGCCCCCAAAATTGATGTTTTTAAATGTATGTTTCATCTATACTGTTTAAGTATGGCAACCTCAAAGCAACTCATCCACCTAAAGACAAGTGAAATTTCTTCCCCTGTGGGGAAGGAGATTTCTGTGTGCTACCAGAATTTCTCTCTAAAGTAATGATAATGACAATAATAATATTAATGATACCTAACAATTATTATATACTTGGAGTCAGGCATTGCTTTAAGTAACTTATATTTATTAACAGAGAATCTTCACAATGACCCTTTTTTAATTACTCTCAAGCCAGCCAGCTTTGGTCTAATCTGAATAGCAGCTTTGCCACCAAATGACTGTGTGGTATGACCATGGACAAGTTACTTAGCCTATCTGTGCCTGTTTCCTTATTAGTAAAATGGGATATGGCCTTACTGTTAGAGATAATCAATTGTTAAGAAACTCTTCCAAGGGCACCAGGCTGGCTCAGTCAAAAGAGCATGTAACTCTTGACCTCAGTGTTGTGAGTTCGAGTCCTATATAGAGATTACTAAAAAGATAAATAAAACTTAAAAAAAAGAAGGGAGAAGAAACTCCTCCAAAGAGATGCTTTTTAAATATCAAATGAGCCTAGGCTAGGCCTCTTATATGAAAACAGCTCCAGCTTTGGATATGACCGTGTGAAAAGTTATAACCCAAAGTTATAAACCAAGTGTATAAACCCAAAAAGTTGATAACAGCTGCAAAAAAATAACAAAAACACTCTTAAATAAGAGTTGACTTAATGAATTTAATAAATACTTATTCCTCAGGATGCCCGGGTGGCTCTCTGTGGTTTAGCGTCTGCCTTTGGCTCAGGGACGATCTCAGGGTTCTGGGGATCGAGTTCCACATCCAAGTCCTCCTCTGCCTATGTCTCTAACCTCTCTCTCATGAATGAATAAATAAAATCTCTTTTAAAAAAATGTGTTCCTCAGTTATAAAGAGCACAAGTTTTGACCTTTAGTGTAAAATACATATACACATAATATATTCTATATTCTGCTCATTAAGTTGCCCTGAGACTCCTACAGATCCACAGATACTTTTTCAAGTCTCGTATCTCCCAGGTAATGTTTAGCCCAGAACTTTAGGAGGTATGTTGCTCTTGCAATTGTAATTCTTTCTTTGCTTAAGATCCCCATTTCTACTCTAGTCCAGATCCATTACTTTAAGCAACATTTTGTTCAAAATTCAACTCTTCCTGAGTGCTGGCCACATAGGGTATTCACTTTGTAAAAAATCTTTATTCTATATAATTATTACTTGTACACTGTTCTTTATGGTTGTGATATTAGAAGGTTTACTTAAAAAAAAAAAAAAAAACTCAGGACAGGACTCCTAGCTCAGTGGTTGATCGTCTGCCTTTAGCTCAGGGCATGATCCTGGAGTCCCTGGATCAGGTCCCATATCGGGCTTCCTACATGGAGCCTGCTTCTCCCTCTGCCTATGTCTCTGCCTTTCCTTCTCTCTCTCTCATGAATAAATTAAATCTTTAAACAAACAAAAAATCTCAAATCTTATAAGTACGCATAATTCACTCTCATCACTCTTTCACTGCTGTTCCCCTTATCAGTGAGGGCAGTCATTACCCATAATTCACTCTCATCACTCTTTCACTGCTGCTCCCCTTATCAGTGAGGGCAGTCATTTATACCACCTCCTTTTTAAATTCACTGTTCTGAAAATGTTCCACAGCTGAATAACATGCCTGAGATAAAGTAGCTGTTCAAAGGATGTTTGTTGAATGAATTAATGTGTATATTTAAAGGTTCCCAAATTTCAGGCTATTCCTAACATTTATCACTTAAAAAAAAAAAAAAACATTTAGAGGCTCCTGTATAACTCAGTAGATTAAGCATCTGTCTTTGGCTCATGTCATGATCGCAGGGTCACAGGATCAAGCCCCAAGTTGTATTCCCTGCTCAGTGGGGAGCCTGCTTCTATCTCTGCCTCTCCATCCTATTCTGCTCCCACTTTCTCTCTCTCTCAAATAAATAAATAAAATCTTTAAAAAACACTATTTAAACCATTTTCAATCCTAGCTCAGATTTATTTCACTTATAAATATTTTAGTACTTACTTCAAAAGGATATGGACTTTTTTTTAAAGATTTCATTTATTCATGAGAGACTCACAGAGAGAGAGAGAGAGAAAGAGAGAGGCAGAGACACATACAGAGGTAGAAGCAGGCTCCATGCAGTGAGCCCGACACGGGACTCGATCCCGGAACCCCAGTATCACACCCTGGGCCAAAGGCAGGCAGGCGCTCAACCCCTGAGCCACCCAGGGATTTCCCAGGATAAGGACTCTTTAAAAAAAAAAAAAATCACAATGTCACCCATGCTGTATTTTTTTTTTTTTAAATTTTATTTATTTATGATAGTCACACACACAGAGAGAAAGAGAGGCAGAGACATAGGCAGAGGGAGAAGCAGGCTCCATGCACCGGGAGCCCGACGTGGGATTTGATCTCGGGTCTCCAGGATCACGCCCTGGGCCAAAGGCAGGGGCTAAACCTGCTGCGCCACCCAGGGATCCCCACCCATGCTGTATTTTAAAAAAAGCTCCATAATATCATGTTTCTAAAAATAGCTAAAAGTTTCCCTCAAAAAAATGTTTTTACAGTGGTTTGCCTAAATCGTGGTTGAAACAAGTTGACACACCACATTTGGTTGATATATTTCTGAAGTAATTTTTAATCTAAATGCTCCCCCACCCTGGGATTTTCTTTATGGTTTGTTGAAAAATTTGGATCGTATATTTTTAGTCTGAATATTGTTGACTGTATCCTGATGGTGCCATTTAACCTGTTCCTCTGTTCCCTGTAAATCCCTATAAAGTAGGAAAATTGCAAAGATAGTGGTGATGCATATTCCATAAGGGTCAGATATATTTTTGTTTTCACCCCCAAGTTTGACAATCATCTTTTATAACTAAAAGCAACAGAGGAGCCCCAAATTTTCCCTGCATGTATTTCTATTCAACAATACTACCATCTGGTGGTGACTGAGAGCAACTACAGACTACCCCAGGTGGCAACTCAGATAGGGCTAGGCCTGGCTTCAGAACAGGTTTGTATCTTGGGTCTGACCAAGTATCACCTTACACAAGTTATTTAACTTTTTTTTTCTTGTAATCTTTTTTTGAAATACAACTGATATACCATAAAGTTCATTTTTTTTTTAAATGTATGGTTCAGTGGTTTTTAGTATAGCACAGTATTGCGCAAATCATCTCAGAAAAGTTCTATACTTGTTAGTTGTCACTCCACATTCCATACTTTCTAGCCCCAGCAAGTACTAATGTACTTTGTTTCTATTGGTTTCTCTATTCTGAACATTTCACATGAATGATAATCATATAAAAAAGTGGCCCTTTTGTACTTGGTTTCTTTCACAAAGCATGTTTACAAGGTTCATCCATGTTGTAGCATATTACCACTACTTCATTTCTTTTTCTGACCGAATAATATTCCATTGTATGGATACACCGAATTTTGTCCTTTCATCAGTTGCTGGATGGACATTTGGTTGTTTCCACTTTTAGGCTATTGTAAACATTCATGTACAAGTTTACGTATGAATGAATGATGTTTTCAATTGTCTGGTACATAACTAGTAGCAGAACATACGGGTCATATGGTAACTCTATGTTTAAGCTTTTGAGGAATGCCAACCTTTTCCACTGTGGCCGCACCATTTTACATTCCCACTTGCAACATAAAGGGTTCCAATTCTCCACATCTTTACTAACATTTATTATTTTACATTAAACTTTTTAAGTCATTAGTTTCCTCATCTATAAAATGAAAAGAATATCTACCCTTTATTTATTTATTTAGAAATTTTTTGGGGGTAATGAATGAAACTCAACAATGATGATTCAATAATTCCTGGCCATAAAAGACAGATTTTAATAATCAACTATACAATAAGCATTTTAGAAATACTGGGATACACAAAACTGCAAAAGGCTGTTAGAACCTGGAGAGCAAGAAATGACAGGGTAGGTAAGTAGTCAGAAAAGGAGGAGTGGGTGCTTGGGTGGCTCAGTAAGGTAAGCATCTGCTTTTTGCTAGGGTCATGATCCCAGAGTCCTGGGACTGAGCCCCACACTGGGTTCTCTACTCAGTGAGGAGTCTGCTTCTCCCCCTGCCCCTCCCTCTGTCCTGCATGCTCGCTCTCTCAAGTTTTTTAAAACTTTCAAAAAAAAAAAAAAAGGAGAAGGAGCAAAATATAAGATGAGAATGGGGAGGTAGGCAGAGACTATATAGAGATTTGGGAGTTTATGCTAAATGTAACATGGCAACCTGTACTTTTGTATCGCAATGCTAATTACTTTGTAACTATTTGTTCACTGTCATGTACCTTACTAGACAGCAAATTCCATAAAAATAGGGACCATGTTTCTTTAACTGCTCTATCCTTGATGCCTACAAGATAATCAAATTTTTATAGAGTAAATTATTTATTCATCCTCTATAGACAGAATATTCTCTTATAATACTTCTATATAATAAGTTTTCTTTTCTCTAGATTAAATAATATATTTAAACTGCTTAGATTTTTAATTTTCTAAACTTTATTACTGTTTTCTAGATTTTCTCAAAGGTTTCCAAAATTCTATTTAAAAAAACACCAGGGGATAGAGATCCTTTATCAAGGAATGTCTGTTAATAAATACAGAATGGGGCAGCCCAGGGAGCATAGTGGTTTAGCGCCTGCCTTCATCCCAGGGCATGATCCTGGAGACTGGGGATCAAGTCCCACATGGGGCTCCCTGCAGGGAGCTTGCTTCTCCCTCTGCCTGTGTTTCTGCCTCTCTCAGTCTCTCTCATGGATAAATGAATAAAATCTTTTAAAAAATAATAATAACAATAATAAACACAGAATGCACACAAATTACAAAACACCATTATGTAACCACCAATATAATAACTGATTCATTCAAGGACCATCTAATATTACTGGTGATGCTAATGGATGCTAATATTACTAGGTGAAATACTAATGGATGCTAATATTACTAGGTGAAATACTGCAAGAAAACAATTATTCACACAGCTGCCAAGTATCAATTGCCAAAAACTACTAGTTAGTTACAAAGAAAAAGGACATTTACATAGAGAAATCCATTTGATTTCTAGAGTTCCACCTTAGCTAAGAAATCAAACTTAACACCAATAATGGGGCAAACTATATGTGTGTGTGTGTTTGTGTGTGTGTGTGTGTGTATCTCGATGTGTTCACCAAGGATAACTCAACATCACCTATGTAATTTCACCAACAAAATTAACTGAATCTAATCACGAAGAAAAAATCAGACAAACTATAGGTCAATCTACCAAAGGCTGGGAGTCTTCAAAAATGTCAACAACATAGAAGACAAAAATAGGCAGAGGAACTGTTCCCTTTTTTTTTTTTTTTAAGTAATCTCTACACCCAATGTGGAGCTCAAACTCATGACCCTAAGATCAAGAGTCACATGCTCTACTGAGCTAGTCAGGTACCCCAAACAATTTCTATATTCCTGAAGGATATGGGCAATCAACTGGAACATGTGATGTCTGACCGGATCCTGCCTTAAAGGAGGAAAAAATGGCACAACTACATAAGACATTTCCATACAGCTGGAAAATGAATGTGGCCTGCGTATTAGACAATATCATTTTAACAATGTTAAATGACCTTAAAAGTGACAATGGTACTGTGATTATGTAGGAGAATGGATTTGTTCTCAAGAGATAAACATGTTGAGGTATTTAGAGGTAAAGTACCAGGATGTTTAATAACTTATTTTCAAATGCCTCAGCAAAAAGCAATTTTAAAGAAATTAAACAAATGTGGCCAAATGTTAACAAGGGATCAATCTAGGTAAAGGATATATGAATGTTTACTATATGATTATTTCAATTTCTCTATGGGTTCATAATTTTTAATACAAAAAGGCAGGGAAAAAGATAGCAATAAGAATACACATGGTGATATACAAAGTAAAGTTCACTGTGACATTATAACTAAATGTGAGAGAGGAATGGATACATTACGATGCACTCACAGAATACTATATAGCAGTTACAATTTAAAAAATCAGACCAGGGCAGCCCTGGTAGCTCAGTGGATTTAGTGCCGCCTCCAGCCCAGGGCTTGATCCTGGAGACCAGGCATCGAGTCCTACATCAGGCTCCCTGCATGGAGCCTGCTTCTCCCTCTCCCTGTGTCTCTGCCTCTCTCTCTCTCTCTCTCTCTCTCTGTGTGTGTGTGTGTCTCTATGAATAAATAAATAAAATGTTTAAATAAATAAGTAAATAAGTAAGTAAATAAATAAATAAAGTCAGACCATCAACAAGAGTATATCCTGAAAACCATATTGGGTAAAAATAAAGTATGGTTTAAGATATAGTATGAAACCACGTATATTCACTTTTTAAAATGCACAAAAGAAATAGTATAGACTGATTATTGATGAGTCTACCTATAGTAAAGGTACTTTAAAAACTAGGCAGGAACCAAACTGAAAGATGTTTATTTCCACTAGAAAGAGAAGAAAGAGAAAATGATTGGGGAAAAAAGGGGGCATCTGAATGGCTCAGTTGGTAAAGCATGCCAACTCTTGGCCTCAAGGTTGTGGGTTCAAGCCCCACATTAGTGTAAAGATTATTTAAAAGTAAATAAAATGAAATCTTAAAAATACCTGGAAAAGAATACAAAGGGAAGAGTAAAAATAAAATATAAAGCATACATGGTTAAAATGTTACTACTTGGATTCATGGGTACTTAGGTGTTTTATTCTATTACTGTAAACTTTTCAACATGGTTTTTATGATAAACAGATGAACTCCCAATCTCTATATCAATCATATTTAATCAAGTATTTAATTAATTACAAATGATATATGCTCAATTGATAAACCTGTATAAAGTATAGTACAAAGCCTCCCTATATGCATATTATATATATAATATTATATATGTATAAGTTAACCAGAAAAATATAGCTATCAGTGAGAGGGCAGGGTTATGGAGCTACGAGGTCATAGCCGAAGCATGGGACTCCATGTCTCCAAAATAAAATGGAAGATAAAGAAAAAGTCAACTGAGAATTCAAAAATACTCTAGTAAGGATAAAAGGAGATGACTTCTAGTATTGGAGTCTGGAGTAACTAAAACAGATTGAATTTTTCTAAATGCTACCATCTGATAATGAAAAAGAAACAAGATACTTTAATGTATATGAAGTACATGATATTGGATGGAAAAAGATCCTCACCCAAAGCCCTGGGAATAAGAACTTAGAGAAGAAGCAGGGGCCCTTTCTTGACCTATGAAGACCAAATACAAGCAAAAGGGAGAAAGGGAGCACCTCCATAGTACAAACACTCAGAAAGCCTAACTTCTATAATAATTCTGTAAAACTATCACCTTATTTACTTCTGCATTTTATTAAATACCTATCAAACAACTGACATCTCGGGATCCCTGGGTGGCACAGTGGTTTGGCGCCTGCCTTTGGCCCAGGGCGCGATCCTGGAGACCCGGGATCGAATCCCACATCGGGCTCCCGGTGCATGGAGCCTGCTTCTCCCTCTGCCTGTGTCTCTGCCTCTCTTTCTCTTTCTCTCTCTCTCTCTCTCTGTGACTATCATAAATAAATAAAAAAAAAAATTAAAAAAAAAAAAAACAAAAACAACTGACATCTCATAAATATCTATTACCTTCAGGATGCCTGGGTGGTTCAGCAGTTGAGCGTCTGCCTTTGGCTCAGGGTGTGACCCCAGAGTCCCAGGATCAAGTGCCATATCAGGCTTCCCGCATGGAGCCTCCTTCTCCTTCTCCCTCTGCCTATGTCTCTATCTCTCTCTCTCTGTATCTCTCATGAATAAATATATAAAAAATCTTTTAAAAAAAATATCGATTAACTTTAATAAATGTCTACTGCACAGATATGTAGGATATTCCTGAAAGGTTCCATTTCTAAGTCACACAGGATTCTCAGATTATACCATGCCCTCCCTTTAATAAATACAGCAAAGGAATACAAATATAACTGAAATAGGGAGTTACCTAATTAGAATTTAAATAAAAACTCCTGAAACAAACAAATATGAAATAGGAAAATAAAATGTTAATGACTATGTCAATGAGGATTCTTTTCCAAGAAGGTCCCCTTGAAGAGTGAGCCTAATACAAACACCTATAAATGGCACAGATATCCTGCAAATTCAGATTCTCCTGAACTGGCAAGTTTACTAATATAAGCAAATACATATTCTATACTAAAAATTTGTCATTACTACAGTCCTACCTTCAGTCTTCTGCTGTAAAACTGTCATCAAATGTTCTATAGCTTCATCCACATGCAGCCCATGGAGGTCTAAAACATTCTGTGGCAGCAGGGAGGCATTGACTTTCTCAAAGATCTCCACAGCAGCAAGGTGATTGGCTTCTTTCATCTTCTGCTCATGGAGACTACCCTTTTATTATGAATAGATCACCAGTAAAAACTTTTGGTATTTGCTACTTAGAAGGCAATAAGGAAACAAACAGTACCCCAAATAAAAGGTAAAATAAAAAGGGAATAACATATACAAAATTTTAAATAATGCAATGGGCTAATATGCAAGAATACACCAAAATTTAGGTTAATTTTAGTGAGTTAATAACATAGTTCTTAAAATACTAAATCATCATTTCTAATATATTTTCTGATCTAAAAATCACTGAAGAGGAAGACTTAAACATCACCTATCTCAAGAAGGAATCCATCAGTTTACCTTTTGATAATCCTGGTCTCATTCCTTTCAACACCTTGTGGTTACCCCCGAAGCCTTTCCTCAAGGTATACTGGGGCTCACAGGGTTATACCAGTTTGATACCTTTCTCCCCTCTATCAAAAAAGCAAGCCATTATGGAACCACAAAGCTAAAAAGGAAATCAGACAAGTTTCTTGTAATACCATGTCCAATGAGCCTGAGTCAAAATTTTACTTCCTTGAAAGACATTAATGTAACTCTTTTCCTGACCATAAAAGTGATACACTACTAAATATTCAAATATGACAGAAAGCACAAGTCCCCTGTAATTCTACCCAGAGATGGTCAAGATTAACATTCTGTTGTCTTTCCTTCAGAAAACCTGTATCTGTTTAGAAGCAGTACTGACAGAATTTATCCTAAGGAAAATATGGACTGTAATTCATGTAAGCCATAAATGCAAAAGAAACCATAGAAATTGAGCATTTCAAAGGAGAGGTAATTCTCAGAACCTTACATTGCTTATACATTAGGATATCTTATGTCCCTTATATAAGCTACATTCCCCAGATAACTTAATCTAGTACAATAAGAGTATTACCTGCTTTAGGACACTATTCATACATCATTAAGTGACAAAGAAAGAAACAGTAATCACTTTTCCTTTTTACCTGCTGGGCATAAAACGTGGCAACGTGTTTTTTCCCCATCCGATAAGCTTCTTTCGCTTTGCTGTAGCATTCCATCCTCTTCTGTTGGTGCAGAAAAGCCTCTGCCCTGTAGTCATTATACTCTGGGTACTCAAAATCCTGGAAAGATGGTTCACTTGGTGTATCTTCAGTCTCTTTCGATTTCTTTGCCTATAAGATGTTATAGAATAAATAAAATACAAAGAAAGTAAAAAAATACAGGCTTTTCCTTCAGGAAATGTATATGAAAACTGTGGTCCACAATTTTTTACCTTTCTTCTCAGAAAACAGACTCTCCCAAAGTCTACCTAGTAAGTCATGCACTTAGCAACTACATTAACTTTTTCATGCTATAAGGAACCTCTTCTTTAGTCACTCTTATCTTAAAAGATGTTGAAAAGTTTTCTAAAATTATCAAAATATAATTAGGTCACAAAATCAAATCAAAAAAGAAAACACAAGATCTTCAAAGAATAAAACTCAATTAGCTAATGCAAAATTTTCCAAATTTTAGTTTGTAAACCTATAGAGTCTAGTCACCGAAAGTAGTAATGGGGGCAGCCCCAGTGGCTCAGCGGTTTAGCGCTGCCTTCAGCCCAGGGCCTGATCCTGGAGACCTGGGATCGAGTCCCACGTCGGGCTCCCTGTATGGAGCCTGCTTCTCCCTCTGCCTGTGTCTCTGCCTCTCTCTCTCTCTCTCTGTGTCTCTCATGAATGAATAAATAAAATCTTAAAAAAAAAAAGTAGTAATGGTATATTTCAATTTATATGTTTTAAAAAACGATCAATAAAATAATTAAATAATATTCTTTTTAAAACAAAGGCACGGGGATCCGTGGCGCAGCGGTTTGGCGCCTGCCTTTGGCCCAGGGCGCGATCCTGGAGACCCGGGATCGAATCCCATATCGGGCTCCCGGTGCATGGAGCCTGCTTCTCCCTCTGCCTATGTCTCTGCCTCTCTCTCTCTCTCTCTCTCTCTATCATAAATAAATAAAAATTAAAAAATAATAATAATAAAAAAATAAAACACAAAGGCACATGCAATGTCCATATCTAAAAGTAAAAATTAAAAATCATAAGTAGGTTTACGGGACAGTTTTCAATCAGCTGACTACTACCAACCAGCCACTATAGTAGACTTTTGAGCTTTTTGAAAAATTATCAATCAAGTAACCGCCTTCCAAATTATCATTCAAGTAACTTTCCAAAAGACCCTTAAAATTAATAAACAAGCAAAAGTAACTCTGAAACACAAAGTAATGAAAATAATAATGATGCCTCAATACTCCCCACCAAACAGAAAATTGCAGGTTTCTGAAGATGACTTCTAAAATATTAAGTCAGTGTTTTTAAAAAACAGCAAAATAGGGATCCCTGGGTGGCGCAGCGGTTTGGCGCCTGCCTTTGGCCCAGGGCGCGATCCTGGAGACCCGGGATCGAATCCCACGTCAGGCTCCCGGTGCATGGAACCTGCTTCTCCCTCTGCCTGTGTCTCTGCCTCTCTCTCTCTCACTGTGTGACTATCATAAATAAATAAAAATTTAAAAAAAAAAAAACAAAACAAAACAGCAAAATATAGTGACTTCTATATCCACTTTGGTTTTTCATTTATCCCATTTCTAAAGTACTATTTGCAGAAAACTGCTTGCAAACAGCAATCTGATGTATTTTTTAGCGTGTCACTGGGGTGTGGGAATAGGGATCAATTATTATGATTTAAGTGGATTTTCTTAAAAGCTTAAAAGAATTCCAAGTATCAGGTGCCATACCAAGTAATTTAATGAACATTTTATGAAAATTCAATCCCAAAATTCCTCCAAAAATATAATCTTAAATTTCCTAAACAAATCATGCTTTTCTGATATGATTAATTAAAAGTAAATTAAACAGGTTGTTAAATTCCTAAAAGCTGAAAACTGTCACTAAAATGGAAATATTATCAAAGATTATAATATACTCTACAATAAAATCTTTAAAAAATGCTACTTTAATTTTTAAGGTGGTATCATTTGATATATATTAACTATTATATTAATATTATATGTATTATATAATACATACATTACTAATTGATCTTTTTTTTGTTGTTTCAAATTTCCTATTAGTCAAATCCCAAAGTCACAAAAGGTTGGGGAAAAAAAAAACTACTGGTCTAATATATAATAGTTGATTGTGTAATCTTCTCAACTCATTACATGTTTTCTTTAACCCCAAGAATTCTAGAGGTTTAAAACAAATTAAGGGGCAGTCCTAGTGGCTCAGTGGTTTAGTGCCACCTTCAGCCCAGGGCACGATCCTGGAGGCCCGGGATTGAGTCCCACATCGGGCTCCTTGCATGGAGCCTGCTTCTCCTTTTGCCTGTGTCTCTGCCTCTCTCTCTCTGTGTCTCTCAAGAATAAATAAATAAATATTTTTAAAAAAACGAATTATGGAGTAAAATAAAGGTATCCACATACTTCTAATTCATTATCAAAGTCAAAAATCTATAAATAGGGGTGCCTGAATAGTTCAGTGAGTTAAGTGGCTGACCAGCTCAGGTCATGATCCCAGGGTTCTGGGATCAAGCCCAGTGTTGGGTTCTGCACTCAGTAGGGAGTCTGCTTTTCCCTCTCCCTCTGCCCCTCCAACTGTTCATTCTCTCTCTCAAATAAATAAAATCTTTTTTAAAAACCTGTAAATAACAATTGATTTATTTTTGCAAAATACCCAATTTTTTTAAAAAGATTTTATTTATTTATTTATCCATGAGACACAGAGAGAGGGGCAGAGACACAGGCAGAGGGAGAGGCAGGCTCCTCACAGGGAGTCCGATGTGGGACTCGATCCCCGGACCAGGGATCACACCCTGAGCCAAAGGCAGACGCTCAACCACTGAGCCACCCAGGCGTCCCAATACTCAATCTACTTTATGAAAGAATACAAGGCTCTCTCTCACATAAGAATATTCATAGACCTACATCCTTATGTCACTCTCACCAGTACTTAATAACAAGCTTGTTTCATATTAATGTTTAAATTTTTTTTTTTAAGATTTTATTCACTTATCCATGAGAGACACAGAGAGTGAGAGAGGCAGAGACACAGGCAGAGGGAGAAGCAGGCTCCACGCAGGGAGCCCGACACAGGACTCGATCCTGGGTCTCCAGGATCTCACCCTGGGCCGAAGGTGGTGTTAAACCACTGAGCTACCTGGGCTGCCCTATGTTTAAATTTCTATGAATATATGGTTTGCATCTCTAATAAAAATCAAAGATTTTGCAAGAAGGGGATAATGAAAATGCTTTCTATGACTTTTGAAAAGTCACAGTGCTTAACAGTATGAACATAAATATTTCCTAGCATTAGATTCTCTGTTGGCGTTCAGACTAAAAAATGCAAATCACATTCGGTTCTCTGGGAAGAGACGCTTCATTTCTTATTCTTGAAAAAGAAAAACATAGTATATGAGAAATGCTTTCTCAAATAGCTACTCTCTTTCAAAATAAAATAAAACCATGATTTATTTCTATATCCATTTCATAGTGATGTGGTTTATTACTATAACACCATTAACAAAGGCCAAGTGAAATACACGCTTCTTGGGGTTGTGAGTTTGAGCCCCATGTTAGACATGTGGAGACTAGACTGACTGAATGAATGAATGAATGACTGACTGACTGACTGACTGGCTAAATAAATAAATAAATAAATAAATAAATAAATAAATAAATAAATAAATAAGCTTAAAAAAAATCCAGCCATTTTCTCTATAGAAATTGGCAAGCTGATCCTAAATTCACATGGAACTGCAAAGGGACCAGAAGAAGCAAAACAATCTTAAGAAAAGACCATAGTTGGAAACTTATATTTCCTAATTTCAAAACTTATTACAAAGCTACCATAATAAGGCAATGTGGTATTGATATGATGACAGACATACAGATCAATGGAACAGAACTGACAGTCTAGCAATAAATTTGCAGTCAATTCATTTTTGACAAGGATGCTAAAGAAAATTCAGAGGGGGGAAAAACAGTTTTTGTAATAAGTAGTTCTGTGATAACTGGATATCCACATGCAAAAGTATGAACTTGGACCCCTATCTCACACCATATTAACTCAAAATGGATCAAGGATCTAAATGTAAGCACTAAAATTATAAAATTTTAGAAAAAAACAAAACTCCAAAAAACATAACAAAAGACAATATAAAAAAAATTTCATGACCTCAGAAGGCAACATTTTTTTTTTTTAAGATTTTATTTATTCATGAGAGACACACAGAGAGAGGCAGAGAGAAGCAGGATCTATGCAGGGAGCCCGACGTGGGACTCGATCCTGGGTCTCTAGGATCACACCCTGGACTGAAGGCAGTGCTAAACTGCTGAGCCACCGGGGCTGCCCACGGGTAAATATGTTTCCTTAAATATAACACCAAAAGTACAAGTAACAAAAGATAAATTGCACATCATCAAAATTAAAACTTTTGTGCTTCAAATGAAAGACCTCATCAAACAAGTAAAAAGACTACCCTCAGAATGGAAGACAATTTTGCAAATCACGTATCTGACAAGGGACTTGTATCTAGAATATAAAAAGAACTACAAGTCCAAAATAAACATTTTTAAGGGGCAATTAGGTGGCTCGGTGGGTTAAGTATCAAACTCTTGATTTAGGCTCAGGTCATGATCTCAGGGTCATGAGATGGAGCCCCATGTAGGGCTCCACAATCAGTGGGGAATCCACTTGAGATTCTTTCCCTCTGCACCTCCCCAAACCCCTGCCCGACTCCTGCTTGCATGTGCGCACAGTCTCTCATAAATAAATAAATACATATATACATACATAAATGTCTTAATGGGCAAAGAATACAAGCAAACATTTCTTCAAAGAAGATATACAAATAACCAATAAGGACATGATAAAGTGCTCAACATCACCAGTCATCAGAGAAACGCAAATCCAAATGACAATGAGATACTACTTCTTTTTTAACCCATTTCTTTTATTTCCTGTTTCCTGATGCTTTGACATCTGGGTCCTTGCTACCCCCTGGAAAGACAGTACCCTCAACCCTGAGGTTGGCTAATTCCTAGAAATAGCAAACAACTCATCTGCTATGTAAACCAATCTAGAGCCCATAGTCTCAACCACTTCCTTTATGGGGTTCTCACTCTCAGGGCCACAATTCACGTTGCCTAATCACCCACACCAGACAGCAGAAAACCTGGGACAGTTTTACCCTCTGGTGCCTGCCGAGAATGTTCAAACTAGCCAATCCTAAACCCACTTGCCCTGCCTCACCCATTCCTCTCCACAGAAACCACAAAAAAGGCTCTTGCCCACATTTCCCCTCTCCTCCCTCTGTCTCCTCACTGACTCTGGTGCTTCTGCATGTGGTCCTGGGTGGCAGGCCACACCTCCTGTTTCTAGAGATCTATTGAGTATAATAAATTTCCTCCTTCATGACATTTCCAAGTCTCAGTATCTTAACATACCTGATTAAAACAAATCCCGGGTACCCTTAAGACAACTTCCACCCACTAGGGAGGCTATCATCAGAATTCAAACAAGGGTCAGAGACAATGTGGATAAATTGTAACCCTCGTACATTGCTGGTGAGAACATGTTACAGCCACTTTGGGGAAAAAGTTTAGCAGTTTCTCAAATGGTTAAAAATTTCTGCCTACATATTTAACATATTTACACCCTAAAACCCATCATATTACCACCCCACTGCTACTCAATTAAGTCTCATACTCTACTGTAATAAAGCCTATACACAAAAAGTTACAGAAATTCAAGTGCTTGACATACACAATGATATTGAAGAAAAAAGCATGACCAACTATAAATTCACTATTTTGAGCAAACAGATATCCTAAATCAAATATATTATTAGTGGTTAAATTTCCAATCTGGTTAAAATGTGAGAAATAATCATTAAATTATATCAATAAACCAATTATATTTTCATATACAATGATTTACCATTATAGTAAAAATAAGTAACTTTATACTTTTTTTTTCTATACCTTTTTCTCCTTAGACTTCTGTGTAGTATGAGAAGTGACATTCTCATTTGGGTGAACAAACTCTTGCGCTACGACCGTTTTTACAGGGTCTCCTTCAAGAACACAGTTTAGAAACTGAACTGTGTGTTCTAATGAATAGCTGTAGAGAGTTACAAATATAGTGTCACTTAAAAAAATAAAAGTTATATGGAAACATTAACATAAGCAATCCTTCAAACATTTTTTAGAGTATGAAAAATTTGCTTACTTCTAAGTTTTATTTTTTTTCTAAGTTTTAAACATTGACATTATATGTTCATGTATCTCAAAATCAAGAATGACCAGAAAGAAACTATTAAATAATAAGCACTCAAAAACTAATTTTTGTAAATGAATGCAAAAAGTTATATATTGTTAATTCATTCATTTCCTGATCTTTTATTCCAGGTAGATCACCTACAACAAATCTTACTTTTAACTCATCAGCTACACTTCTTAGGTCTCTTATTAGATTCACACATGGTTTCAGTTTCCTTAAACATCAAGCACAGACAATATATCTTTACACTGAAATTTCACTTTTTATTTAAACCATAAGGTTCTAGTCAAAGAAATTCTAAGCAGGGACCTAAAAAAGAAAAAGTAAAACACTATGTTACCTCTCACCCCTAATTATTCAGGCATATTTTCATGGTGATTCTATATAATATGTAACATCAAATTCTATAAATTGACAAAGACTTGAAACTCATGTTCCAATTTCTAAAGGTACTCATTCCAAAGCACATTATAAATGATTGTATACTGCTCATTATTTCAGGCTATTTATGCTTCTCATCTCTTCCATAACATGTATACTTAATGAAGAGCTGACCACAAAGGAATATTTATGAAATGTGATAAAAAGTTAACCAAAGTACTGTGATATTTTGCTATTCTTCAATTTAGTAAAGACAACTCTTGATGAGGAACCATTTTGGACTACCACACTAGCCCTCTTATCTTGCTGCCTCATATATGCTCAACAAATAGAAGTTCCTAGGGGCTAGAAGCTACTAGCAATTATCTATCCTAAATAGCCCTTAAAATCACAGGCTTGCTTACTCATGGGGCTGGAAAGCAGTGTACACCATTGGTGGGGTTAGAGGAGGATGGCCCTGGAAGATTACATCATAGGCATATATATAATCAGTAACTAAACCCCCCTACCCCCTACCCTTCTTACCAGGATGAAGGGGAAGCTACTGCTAACTGAAAAAATTATCCACCTGCTGGCCAACAAATGGAGGCAACTGACCACCTACCTTGAAGGGCCTGGCTGACTCCCATCATTCTGGGCATCCCCAGGAAGAGACTCACTCAGTCCCAGAACTCTGGGTTGTTTCATATCAGGCCATCTTACACCAGGGTCCCCAGAAAAGAGAGTTGCCATGCCAGTGCCACTCCCCTAATCCCTATCCCCTTGGGAGATTTTAAACTTAATTCTAAGAAAAAAGCTGGTTAGGTAGCAAAAATAAATAGGCAAATATTTATTGGAATAATACCATTAAAATTTGATTTAAGTGACATGTTTAGAATTCTACATACTTAGCAGAGAATATTCCTTTTCAAAGGCACATTCATGTAATAATTGTAAATCCTAAAAAGAACTCTTCCAAAAAAAAAAAAAAGAACTCTTCCAGGTCACATTCTTCTACCTCAATACAACAAAACAAAATAAACAATAATCCTTACTCTTCCTCCATGAAGTCATCAAACCATTTAGAAAATTAAACACTCTTAAAAAAAAAAGAATATAAAAACTTTCAGGTAAAAGAGAATATCAATCTGAATTAGAGATTATTTGAAAAATAATGAAAATGAAAATACTATTTATTCATCAAAACCAAAATATTATATATATCAAAAATGCTATACAAAGAAAAATTCATACCCTTAAATGTATTTGTTTAAATTAAAGACTGAAAGGAAAAAAACTAACCAAAGAGTTAAAAATACATCAACAAATTTTAGAAAAAAGGAAAAGGGGGCCTGGGCGGCTCAGTCTGTTAAGTGTCTGCCTTCAGCTCAGGTCATGATCCCAGGGTCCTGGAATAAAGCCCCACAACGGGCTCCCTGTTCAGTGGAGAGCCAGTGTCTCCCTCTACCTCTGCAGCTCCCCCTATTTGTATTCTCTCTCCCCTTCTCTCTGTCAAATAAATAAATATTTTTTTAAAAAAAGAAAGAAAAAGGAACTATCAAAAACAGAAAGGAAAATGAATCACCAAAATTAAAGACAAAAAATAAATGATTAGAGAACATAATATAGACTTTGATCAATAAACCAAGAGCTTGTTCTTTTAAAAGGGCCAATCTGATAAAGAGCAAAACAGAGCACAGAGAAAAAAAACATCCGGAAAGGAAAAAGGGATACAACCAAATACAAAACAATGTTTTTAATTATCAAAGTATATTATATATAACAATAATAAACTTGAAAATTAAGGTAAAATTGATTTTTTAGCAAACTACCAGAAAAGGCTCATGAAAAAAACAATCTAAACAAAGTAATAACCTTAAAAAGACAGTGAAAGATTCTAAAGACCTTCTGTCTGAAAAGGCACAACTCCAGAACCTTCAAGTACTAATTTACTTACTTTCTTGAGCACAGAGAAAAATAGCAGTCTTTCCAGATTATTTTATTAAGACTAATGCCAAATAAAACCCTGAAACGAAATCTAACAAAGATAACCCAAGAACAGAAAATTATAGACCAATCTCATTTAATTGCTGCTGCAAAAATCATAAAATTAATTCCTACCCTGCATTTAAAGAAAAAAAAAAATCAGGGGTGTCTGGCTGGCTCAATTGGTAGAGAATGTGACTCCTGATCTTGGGGTCCTGAATTCGAGGTCCATGTTAAATATAAAGATTACTTAAATAAATAAACTTTTTTTTTTTTTAAAAGAAACCATCAAAAACAAAAATCTGAAGGTAAAGGTTTTATTCTAGAAATCCACTATTATGATTGAAATAACACTAATAAAAAAAAGAAATACACTAATAAACTAAAAAAATCTGTAGTAGATTCTCAAGCGATTATAAAAAGGCACCTATTTAAAACTCTCTCGCTAAAATACAAATTTAAGAAACACGTAAGATTGAAATATATATTATTCAAACCAGAAGTATTCCAAACATGCCACACATCAAACACACTGTACTACTATGATAATTAAAACAATATGGTGGAAACCCAGAACCAAACATAGAGCTCAAAAGAACTGAAGTCTTTAAAAGAAAAATGTGTATTTTGGAAAAGAGCAAATAGTAGTGGTTATATTTTGTATGAGTGAGTAAAGCTGATCTATTCATCCAGTTAATTATTTGGAAAAACAAGTTAAATCTCTACCTCATACCATACACATATAATTTAGAAAACTTTAAACCCATGGGTAAATGGGAAGTGCTAAATTAAAACTTTTTAACTATTAAAAATACTGAAGAAAGTATTTTCATAATATTAGGGTAGGAGAGACTTCTTAAAATGACATTAAACTTGGAAACCATAAAGGAAATGATTTTCTGATAAAACACGTTAATAAAAACATGTATATGCCCGAAAAGACTAATCTAGGTTAAGTGATAAACATCAGTGTAGAAAAATAATTATAACCTATAGCAACAAAGACAACTACACATAATATATAGTGAGTTCTCACTAATATCAAAAGAAATACAAAGAAACCAACAGAAAACAGGCAAAAAGTAATAAGTAGAAAAAGAAATTAATGAAAAAGTCTTAACTTTCCTAATAATCAAGAAATTTTAAATTTAAACAACAATGAAATATTTTACCTATCAGGATGGCCAAAGTTTTAAAGATTCTTATTATCCAAGACGGGTTACACTATCAGTACATATAATTAATACAGAAAGTCCTTTAAAAAAAAAAACTGGCATTAGCTGTAAAAATTTTCTTTTCTTTTTTTTTTTAAATTTATACATGAGACAGAGAAAGGCAGACACAAGCAGAGACAGAAGCAGACTCCATGCAGGGAGCCCGATGTGGGACTCAGATCCCAGGACTCCAGGATCATGTGCTGGGTCGAAGGCAGGCGTTTATTCACTGAACCACCCAGGCTTCCCTAGCTGTAAAAAGTTTCAATGCATACACTCCAAACCAGCAATTTCACTTTAGGAACTAGCCTACAATAGTATTCATATATGTGTGCAAAAATGTATATTCAAGGAAGCTTAGTGCACCATGGTTTCAAGAAGCCCAAAAAGAGGAGCATGTTCATTCAAATTACAGTACTTCTGGGGGAAAAGCATCTATCTATATAGGAATGGCAGCAGTGAAGGTTTTTTATGTGCCTTTTTTATTTTTGTAAAAAAGAAAAGTTGGAAAAGCTGAAGGGATACATTTTATTTCTGGATTTTTACAACAGAGATGACCATTATAATGGAAAACAAACAAACAAAATAAATCTTTTTAAAAATCACTTTTAGATTACTGTGGATTATTCTATGGACTTAAAAAAAACCTATTACTAAGTATGGACTAGAAAAATAAATACCAACAAAAAGCAGCATATAAAACCATCTATTTTTGGTGAAATAAGTATTTATATATAGACACAAAAGCAAACAGGTACACACACAAGCACATATACACTAGCGGACTATGAACCAACTGCCCAAATCTGCTCACTTCCGATATTATGTACACTGCACTTAAATGACTTATAATAGGGATCCCTGGGTGGCGCAGCGGTTTGGCGCCTGCCTTTGGCCCAGGGCGCGATCCTGGAGACCCGGGATCGAATCCCACATTGGGCTCCCAGTGCATCGAGCCTGCTTCTCCCTCTGCCTATGTCTCTGCCTCTCTCTCTCTCTTTCTCTCTCTCTCTCTGTGACTATCATAAATAAATTAAAAAAAAATGACTTATAGTATGCCTCTATGAATTATCAGAAAAATTAAAATGATACGCTTTCAATGACATCACAATAGAAACTACATATAATCCTATCACTCACTTGTGGTCCTTGAAAATGTCCACCAGAAAATTTTGGTTAATGGCTGGAAATATCTTAAAGAGCTGCTTCTCCTTTAGTTTAGTGGCACAATCTTTTTCAAACATAAGTGCCTCCCTTTTCTAAAACAAACAAAAGAGATAAAAATCATCCTTCAGACAGAATTCATAAAACTAATTACGCTGATCCAAAAGCATGGTTATTTTGTTGCAAAAAGATTAGTAATTTAAAAGCAATCACACACTTTCTTCACTGATTAAAGACTGAAATTAGTAATATAAGTATTCTTGCACTATTTATTTATATCCCATTTTTTGCAAAGTATCTGAAGCTGTTAATTTATATATATATATATATATATATATACTCTCACATATACACACCCAGCACAGTCATATTACATAAAAAAGATAAAAATATATAAACATATAAACAGGATATAAATAAATGAAGAAGTCAGAGTGTAGAAAATAAAAGAATATAGGAAAAAGCTAGCAAGTAAAATTAGTATATAAATGCATGCCACAAAATCCTGTACAATTGCTAAAGGTGGGCCACAAATTCAGTTCTGAGCTTCTTAGTGGCCAAAGCAAAGGGGGAAATAAAGATTCTCAGTGTCCATAAAATAAAAACAAACCAGTTGCTCAGGAGAAGTACAGCTTTTTCTGGTACTGAGACCTGAGAGAAATTTCTCCCATGGGTCCTCATAAAATGGACACTGTGTGATGCTGTGAACAACGTCCTCAAAAACATATTCTCCTCAATGGGCAGAAACTACAATGTACAAATAAGTTGCAAATTCAGGTTGACAGAAAATCTTAAAATTCACAATTTAAAAAATTTTCACAAACATTTACTCCAAAATAATTGCATGAGAACTGTCACTGATTGTTATTTTTTCACAAGTCATGATTGGATCTGTTTAAATTGCCAAACTAAAGAACTTTCCTAAAATGTGCTTTTTGAATTCTAACCTAGGATTATGGTAAACATTTTTAAAGTGATTGCTAACTCTAAGACAATTTGTTGACATTGTGATATAAGTACATAATATTTTTGTTTGCTACAAAGATGCTAATATTTGAAGAATAACTTCCTATAAAATTTCAAAGGTGACTCAAAAATATAAAAAATCATAATAATCTAGAACAACCATAAAACAATTGTTGCTTTTGAAGCCTAGCATATTTAGATCATTTGTAACACCAAACAATAAAAGAGGATCCACAATAGGTGACAATCTGACCAGTAGAAGAGCCTGGTAAAGCTGAACACGTCACAAGAGTAAATAATAGAAACAAGCCACCTCAAGAATTAAAGATATTTCATGATAAGCATTATAATCTGAACTTACTAAAATTTCAGTGATCAGATTTACTAGCACTCTACAAGGTCAAAGAGTTTCTAAACCACAAATTTTAAGGTCTCATCAATAAATTGAAAACTTACAATCTTAACCATCTTATAATTATTCTACTCATATATTATGCCTAATGTTTATTTTATATTCTTTGCTTAAAAAAATACAAAGTGTATTTCTCCTCTGGAGACAAAGAGTGAAAAGAAAGCATCAAGAAATTTTCTTACTGAAGTTCTACCTAAGGAGAAGTATCCTTAGGACCAAATAAGTATAACTTCTATTACCTAACCCATAGAAAAATAAGCAAAAATCACTGATAGAAAAAAAATGAATTAAGTTGGGAAGTCAAAGATTCTCATCTGTTCACTATTACACTGAGAGATTAAAAGGCAGATTAAAACCACAAAGTTAAGTTTCAAAGTTTCAGTAGTAAAAAATGGCATTTCAACAAAAGGTGTCACATCATTTGGACATAAGTTCTAAGTTTCCTTATTTTTTTAAGAAAATGCATTTCTCTGATTTATTACGCATATAAATGAAGAGGATATCTGAAACAACACTACATTGTAAGACCCTACCCAAAGAGACTGTTCTTGGATTAGGTAAACATGGTAATAGTAGCATTACCATTAGTAGCATTATTTCCAATTTAATTAATAAGATAACTGGGGAAAATAAGTATGAACATGGAGGAATCTCATCATTCTTCCTATGTCCCAATTCTATGTATTTCAGCCAAATATACAGGTGCTCCTTTGAGTAGTCAAATGAGTAAGAAAGTAAAATGTTTAAGATCACCATCTAAAAATTATTTCTTCTCTTTGAGAATTGGACTAAATAACCTCCGGGTCTTTTCCTTTTTGATTCTGAAATTCTGATACTAACATTCAGAATTCCAAAAAAGGCTAAGAAGTAATGCAAAAGAAACCAAATTGACTTACACCTACCTTCACAAAATTTGTTATGGTGAATAAGGAACAAAAATAAAGTTCAAAATAAAGTTTCTGTTTGAACTGTTTGACTGAAAAGTTAGAAAAAGAAGAGTATTTAATTTTTTAATTCAAATTCATAAGTTTTTAAATTTTTCTCTAAAAATTTTGTTTTGGGGTGCCTGGGTGGCTCAGTCAGTTAAGCAACCGACTCTTGGTCTCCAACTCAGGTCTTGATCTCAGGCTCATGAGTTCAAGCCCTGAATTGGGTTCCACGCAGCCTACTTGAAAAAAAAAATTGTTTTGAGGTTGGATATTTCTTTAATAGCAAGACAGACATTTCTTTTTACTAATTTGTTAATAAAGTTATCTTTAAATGAAAGATTTCATTCATGTTTTTCAAGAATTAAAAAATTTACAGAGATAAATGCTAAAAGTTAAAAAACATATACAGCCCAATCTCCTGAAATACAGAATCAAATGAAAATCACAAAGTAAACATACAATCAACCTAGAGTCAGAGACAAAGGCTTAATAGTTATACTAACTCATACCAAATCATGTTTTTCCTGTAAGGCAATTTCTTCTGACATTATTTCTCTGAGTGAGACTTTTTTAGTTTGAGCGTTCCAATGATCCAATAAGGGTAGCATTTCAGGTGCTGCTAAAGTCTTCAGTAATTTTTTGCCTGTTCTCTGAGATGATTTTTGTTCTGGATTATCAAGACCAATATGCTCAACCAGGGAAGGATCTACAAAAGCAGCACAAATAGTATCAGGCCCTCAACATAAACATACAAATTAAACATTACTCATTCTGTTACAACTATGTCAGAAAGACCAAAGAAACATGATTTTTTTTATTTCTTGCTTATAATATAACTCTGATGTTTCAAGAGATATCTTCACATAATTATAAGCAAGAAATATGTATAAAAGTAGGAATATACAATGAGCAGGGTATCACTGTAAATCAACTCAATGCTTCCCACTCTTTTTTAAACCACACTGATTGACACAGAAAGAACAACACACGCATACACTGGTAAAAAAAGGGAACTGCAGCCAGGTGGAAGCAACCAGCTAGAGCAGTTCTGCTCAGCCTTGCTCAGCCACTGCAAGGACTGAAAGGATCAATATTTTGGCAAACCCATAACCCATTAGAGGCACACAACAAATATTGAACAAATGATATTCAACATAAGGAAAAAACTGGACATTCTAAGAAATTCATAAACGCAAGATTTAATGTATAGTATTTCAGCATCTCTAAGGGCTATTGCACACTCTGATATATTCCTGTGCTTTCCCAGAGAGTGAAGAAACAGCAGATACTGCCATCCACATAACGCTGATACCCTTTCAGCACCTCTAGCTCTCAAACTGCTTTAGCTCTTAAAGCTGCAACTTAAGTATACCCAAAGAATCTTCAACCTGGAGTCCTGGTGTGGAATGGACAAAAGAGTCACGTGAAGGAAACATGCACAAAAGGAGGCCCCTGTTAACAGCTCTGCCACCCTGCACTAATCACTGAGGACAATGCTATCTAAGATGTCTTGGAATCAAATATTTCAATTTGACTGATGTTCCAAAAGCAAACTGACTTTTGCGCTCTAATAAAATTAACATCAATAAAATTTTTGAATAACCAAGTAACAGCTGAATGATGCTCTCAAACAATCAAATGAACATTTTACTGTTCTCAAACCAGAACAAGTTTTCTTTCCTTCAAAGCAAAATCTTAAAAAGGAAACACCTTGATTATATGTATTAGAGTACACCTAGGGTCTTCCACTGCACTCATAAAAGTTAATCATAGGTGCTTTTCAGTTCTAATTTTATGTCAATATTAAATGTTAAATATTTTAAAAGAACTTTTATTTGCAAATCAGAATTCCTGGGTAACATACTTAGTGGAAGTACATTTAATAATGAGTTAAAATTCATACACATACACCAAATTTAAACATCATGACAAGACCATCAGAAGTAAAAAATATATGCTTTACCTTGCATAAACTTGCCACAGGATACCTCTTCTTGTCTTTGTCGCTCCTAAACACAAATATAGGACAGGGGATTGGCAAAGGAGGGTATATTAAAAAACAAGGTTATACTATTTTTCTCTAGAAATCAGTTTTCGTTGTAAAACTATCAATCATTCTTGCTAAATCTAAGTAAAACAGTAAAATCAGATAAGAGTATGAAATATGACTACATCAATATATTTTTTCTACTTATAGAGCTCTTAGGCTGTAATTTTAGAATGTTTTTGAAATTTATCAATCAGCACTGCAAGTCTTTAGAGAATAAAAAACTACTTATGATTTTTCTCTTAAAAAAAAGGCAATCAATATATGGAGCTCCATCATTAGTTATATAATTTGGCCAGTTTGGAAATAATCTAAAATACTGGAAAGAGAAAAAAATATCAGTAACCTGCTTACTAGTAAAAGTTCATTCTCAAAGTCAAAATTCAATAAACTTCTTTCATACAACAGATTTTATTAAGAGCAAAGGTGAACACAAAAGGAGCTCTTCAAAAAAAAAAAAAAAAAAAAGCCTACCAACCATTATAGATTCTTTCCATTTCTCATGAATCACTTTAGCCAGATTCAGATCTATATGAACCACACAATCCTCAACTGTTAGAGACCCTTGTGAGGGGAAAAGAAAAAAGAAAATATAATCATTACTCATTATACATTTTCAGGAAACATACTGAACCACCTTATAACCATTTGTATTATTAATTACTATGTTTCTAGTTCTAAATATCTTGGAATATTTTTGTTTATGTAGTATGTCACTTTTTTCACACTTCTTGGCATGTGTAATTATATACAGTTCTTCATATATTTAAGTTATTTATGTCCATTAGTCTAAATGTATATATTCATTTCCATTAGTCAAGACTTTTTAAGAAGTGTGTTCTAAGAAATTCATCTTGCCTTAAGTATATCTGGAGGAGCACCACAGATTCAAAAAGGCTCATCTGTGCAAATAAGTATGAGGTAAATACCACAGGAAACTTTCAACATATGCATGGGATGAACACAAACTCCATATAAATACTATTTCTTTAAATTACATTTTTAAAAATCCTCTACAAAGAAAATGTGTCAAAAATAAGGTAGGCAGGGCAGCACTGGTGGCTCAGTGGTTTAGCGCAGCCTACAGCCCAGGGTGTGATCCTGGAGACCCAGGATCGAGTCCCACGTCGGGCTCCCTGCATGGAGCCTGCTTCTCCCTCTGCCTGGGTCTCTGCCGCCCCCCCCCCCCGCCTCTCTCTCTCTCTCTGTATCTCTCATGAATAAATAAATAAAATCTTTAAAAAATATAAAAATAAATTAAAAAAATAAGGTAGGCAACACAAATTCCTTTTCATTTAACATATGACATTATTTTAAAATTATGACAGAACCCTAAATCTGTAGCCTATTCACACAAAGACACATATATATAAGGTAATCTGTTTTTTCTTTACCTGAATCAATACCAACAGGGCCAAATAATTCATTGAGCTGAAAAGCCAGCTCAGGGGTAATGCCAATTCCAGACAGTCTATGGTCAGTGATTTGGCCATCACTGGCATGGGATTCAACATCTCAGTTTTATCTTCTTCACTAACTTCAGCTGAGAAAGTACTCTCAGCCATTAGAATTTTTTCCATTTCCTGTTCATCTTCATTCATAAATTCTTCAGTGTTTGGAAATCTCATATAATCCTTTGGAAGATTTTCATTTTTCTTTATTTCAAGAGAGTCAGTAAAGTCAACTTCTTCATTTAATTCAAGATTTGAAGTGCTTGATACAGAGTTTAAAATAGCAGACAAATTCAAAGAATGTATACTGTCTCCAATCTCCGTGGCTTCTAGATTCTTCTCCATTTCACTCGTATCTTTAGCAAGAGTTGGTTTTAGAGTACCTGGGAAAGACTGCTTAATGTTATATAGACCTGGAAGTTCTACCTGACTACTGGGAAGTACTTCATTATTATTCTTTAGACCTAGAGTGGCATTAGGAAATAAACCGGTTATTAACACAGGTTTTTCAGTAGTTATAGCTCTTATTTCTGCCTGCTCTGAGTTTCCCTCTTCTGAATCACAGGTAGATTGCACATGAGGGTTATTAACAGCAGTGCCATGGCTAAATTCTGGCACAGAACTAGAATCTTCCAAAGTTCTTCTCTGACTAATAATTTCCTTCAAATTTAATCCCAGAGAAAATGGCCCAATTTGTGCTTCATCATATGATTTTTGGATATTCTCAAATTCAGTATCCTCACATAATTTTGTTTCAGAATCCAACAAGAGACTTGTGGCCCAAATAATATCTTTGTTACACCTCTCATATAAGTCCTTTAGGGCTTCTAATGAAAAGGACCCAAAGAGTTTACAAAGAATATTAAGATTTTCAGATTCATCAGCACTGGTAAGCTCACTTTCTTCAACATACGTGCTCTTATCATACATTACCCTATATGGAATTGTTTCTTGAACATCTAACTTTGTGTTAATATTGAAAGCTTTTGGTTTAAATCCATCTAATTGTCCTGTTAACACTCTCACAGAATCTGAAACATTAATTTTATTCTTTTCTATTTTCCATAAGAGAGCAAAATCCTGTGGTTCAGTCTGGGTACTCATGCCTTCTTCTATTCCAGGGACTGTATTAGGTTTTCCTTCTGGAAATTCAACTGAAGTTTGTGGTCCTACTACTCCAGGAAAAGTTGGCCCACTGTTGGTACTAGTGAGAGATGATGTATGCTGTCTATGAATCTTTTTACTTGGACAAGTCTTATTCTCACAGGTCACTTTACTGGGTAGTGTTTCAGAACTCCCTAGAGTGGAGCTACCCAAGGTTTTTAATTCTTCAGGGCTTGTGCCCCAACAACAGGTCTCATGTGCTATGTGGAAGGCTATTTCATTCATACTCTCATTAGTTCCAAATTCTAGGTTGGGTTCCTTTAAACCATCCTTTGGCATTCTTGACCTGTGCTCTCTCTGAGCTAAGGAATCAGATGAAGGCCAGTCACCCACAATGTTAAATGACTGTTTTTCAGTATCTTTATACGTATCATATTGACAGGAATTGAAAGATTCTGAAGCATCATCATACTGTGACTTCTTGTCATCCTCTGTACTTTCATTTGGAGATTCTTGTTGCTGGATATGATCTATATTTGCAGATAGAGTATTATCTAATACTTTGCGTGACTGAGGGTGATTATATTTTTTGTCACTTTGTATAGATGAAGCTTTTTCAGTTTTTCGGTTCCTTTTGGCCCTCTGACCAATAGTCTTATCAACTGGCCAGTCACCGACAAAATTTGATAGCTCATGTCTTGGGAACTTTTCCAAAGTTGACTTGCTTTTTTGTTTTCCAAAGGCTTTTTTCCTTACTGTGGCTCTTTCTTCTAATGTTTCACCAGGTGAAGATTTTTCATTTTGAAATGGCACAGTATCTGAAAGATCATAGTCTTCTTGATTATTTTCACCACAGCAAGTACTCGGTGACATTCTCTCTACAAAACTATCTGCATCAGTTTTACTATACTCTTTTTCAGAAGCCAGTTCTACTTGCTCTTCTCTTTTACTTTCTATTGCTTGTACTTTGCTTTCAGAATCAGAAAAATACACGTCTGAAACTTCCTGAATAAAAGCACTCTGATTCTGAGAATTTGTGACACTTATTTCTGTTCTTCCTTTGTTTAAATCTCCATTAGAGAGATATGTAACACTCTCAGGTAATATAGTTTCTTTGGCCACTTCAAGTTTCTTCTCTTCAGTTAACTCTAGATGCTTCAAAGATGAGGATAAAATATTTTCTTCTTTTTCAGAGGTAACATCTTCATTGTCTCTTGGGCTGTAAGATTTTTTTTAAAGTATTATAAGGAAGTCTCTTAATGTGGTCATTAACATTATGATTTAAAGAAGCATTCAACTGAAAGACAAGGCACTTAACATTTATTCCAAAACTTCTATAAATAAACTACATTAAATTACAAAAGCTCATCTGATCTTAACTAGTACATTAGAACACTTTATTGTAACCTCAACACCTAACACAATGCTTGGCATTTAGGAAGCACTCAAACTTTTTTCAAATTAAATAATAAGCATGAGATTTTCAGTTAAGGTGTTCATGTGCACTAAATATTAAAGTTAAGAATCTAAATTTGTTCCTAGAGGGGACACCAGCTCCATGGTTTCTTTCAAAAGTATTTAATATATATGCCTTTATAACACTTGTCATTTGCTACAGAGGAAAATGCTTAAGCTTCATTTACAAAGTGACAAAGAGTCAACATGATGTGCACAACTAAAAGAAATGAGACAAAGGGAGGAGAGCTGTCATTTGAAATGTCAACTGTTAAATTTTTTAAAACCATCCTCAATGTTAACCTCAGACTTAAAGCACTTTTGCCTAATCATTACACTTTTAATTTCAGTGCTTTTTCCTTAGTCAAATTATCAACTCATCTTCCTTTCTCTCTTTTTAGAGGGGAAGGGAGGGACTAAGGGAAAGGGAGAGAGAATACTCAAGCAGTCAGCTAAGCCCAGAGCCAGAGGCAGGGCTCAATCTCACAACCCTGGGATCAGGACCTGAGTAGAAATCAAGAGTCAGACACTTAACCAACTGAGCCCCTTTCTCTCTTTCTTTATTCCAGGAGTTCTCGAAGTCCCAACTCTCCCATGAAGCCTTTCTCAATGAAATCACATCTAACACTGAGTTTTCTATATGCCAGATGCTATTCTGTCTCGTTAGAGTATTAATTCATGATCCTTATGGGATTCTTTTTTTTTTTCTTATGGGATTCTTAAGAGCAAAGTGTTATTGCCATTTTAGAAATGAAGAGCTGAGTATAGAGACACTCTCTAATTTGTCAAAGATTACAAAGCCAGAAACTCATAGCTCAGGAGCGCATGCTCTATCTAAACCACTTTGCAACACTGCTCTTCAATAAAAGAGCTTTTATGAATTTTCTCTTCCCAACTCCTTTTTAACAGAGCCTCGACCACCATTCCTTATCAACAAAAAGTGTGGGCAATTTAGACTTCTACCTTATATTTAAGGCTATTCCTTAACTCACCTATCTATTCAATTGTTCATATATCCTAAATGTTTAATAGAATCAGTACTATGCTGGACTGCAAACTTTCAAAAGGCTATGACTTGTATTACTTAGTCAGGGTATACCATTAATAATTAATTTTTATAATACTAATTTGAAAGAGTATTTTTACAAATACCTATAGAAATTAAGAAGTAATGTAACTATATATAAAATAACAATAGGCAATAACAGATAAATACTAGAATAGCAGGCAGTTACATAAAGAAGGCAGGAGTATTCACAGTATAAACATGGACTCACAAAACCCTGAGGACAATGTAAAAACTCCCATGTCATTGCATATATACCTTCAGTCCTCTTGCTAACCATATACACCTTGCTGTAGGTAAAACTATATCTAAGCTCTAGAAATAATATACATCTACTTTTATTTTTAAAGTTATTTGGCAGTGATTTCACAAGCTCCAAAATTATTCTCTTTTTTTTTTTTAATTCTCTTAAATTATATTTCAAACTAAATTTTTGTACACAGGAACTTTAACCTACCTAGTATTTCTGTCCTCACAAGAATATGCACACAACGCAACACGTTCAATTTTCTCTGGAACTGAAGAACTCATAATTATTGGCACTGAAACAAAACGCTGATAATGTTCCAACATTCTTGTTATTTTTTCTTTGCTTACCCCATGAATATTACGCCTAAAAGTTCCGGGGGAGAAAAAAATAGAAGAAATATCGGTAATTAAGTTTTGTTTAAGACTGGAACATGAAATGTCAAAAAAAAATGATATTATTTCTAATACGTAAAAATATCTAAGCTGGTTTATTACAACACAATATATACTGTTGATGCTAATTTCATCTTATTCAAGAGGTCTTAAATTACCATTTCTTTAATAATTCCAATCTTTTCCAATCATTTATCAACTTGGAAAAAATCAGCAGATCCAAATAACTTTAAAAGAAGTTATTCCCAAACTCTGCAAAAAAACATTTCATAAGAATATGACCATCACTTTAAGACTAATTATTAACTAGTAAGTAAAAAAAATCCCGCTACAGTCTTCTACTTATGCCACTATGGCAGACTAGAGTTCCAAAGGGCCCTCCAGTTAAAATAAAACTGGATTCCAAGTCAATTATAGCAAACTTATGTTTTAATACAGTTTAAGTTCAAGCAAAGGAAAAAAATTGCTGGTATTTGAAGTCTCTGGATGTCTTAATATGAAATTTATTACATTTGTGCTCTCACTCATGGTAGCTTCTTTGTGGGTTTTGTTTATGAACTCATATTTAGTTGAACCTAATATATAAGAATCCTTAGGCCTTAAACTGGGGGTGCTTTCCTTCATACCTCATGTGGATTTGCATCTGCCAGGAGGCCAGATGGTATGCTTCAGTCCCTCAAGGATCTTGTCTTAATGAAAATATCTCAGTTGCAACATTCCTTCCTTGGGTTGGATCCAAGGCTTATTAATGTCTGGATCCCAGGGCTAATATGATTATTTGCCACCTGGGCAAATCTGGCTTTCATATTTACCTACCTCAATCTTGTCTGGTTTCAGATCACAGAGAAGCAAAGAGATAGAAAATATGAAAGAGAAGTTAAGAGACATAGACATAGAGGACAGAGCAAAAAGGTAGTATACATCTAATCCAAGTCCCAGAAAGACAGTTCATGAGACAGAAGCAATTTAAAGAAAAATGGCTGAGATTTTCCAGAACTGATCGAAGATATCAATCCCCTGATCTAAGAAGCCCAACAAATTCCAAACAAGATACATAACAAGAAATCCACTAGAAACATGGTACTGAAATAGTAGTCATACACGAAAGAAGAGAGGATATTAAAAGCTGCCAGAAATTAAAGGGAAAAAATACCTAGTTATCTACAAAGAAATGAAGTATTAGAATTACAGCTGACTTAACAATAATGGAAGTCAAAAGAGAATTAAATGTTATCTTCAATAACAGAAACTGTCAATCTAGAATATATACACCCAGTGAAAGTATCTTACAAGAAGGAAAGCAATAAAAGAATTTTAAGATTTAAAAAAAAAAGAGTTTGACATGAATCAGAACTACACTGTAAAGAAAATCCTAAAAGATGAATGTCAGACAGAAGGAAATTTCCAGATGAAATATCTATGATAAAAGAAAAGTTAAGCACAAAGCAATCTCTATATGAGTGAAAACACACACTGTACATCCTGGACAATCATAATCATAGCATGTAAGTTGGAAAGGAGGTTAAGTATCAGAATTAAAATGTTTGAAGGAAGGCTAAGAAAATGGTTTGACTTTAAAGTTTGCATGATCAAAGTTTTAATGTAATCACTAAAAGGATAAAAATAGCATATACCATTTCCAAATTAAAAGAAAAGAAAAAAATGAGAAAGTCTGCATTCAGTGAAAAAAATCCAAAATAAGGCATGATAAAAAGGGGAAAAATCAAATATAGTTATCTGTGATAGGAGAAAAATAATCACAAGAAAGGTAAGTAAGATAAAGAGAAAGTAGAGCAAGACAGTAAGAAGCAAGACCAATTATATGAATAACCAAAAAAGAATTAAGCTTAGGAATGAAAAGGCAAAGATGGACAGAGAGGATTTTTCAAAACCCAGTCATATTGGTTATAAGAGATACACCTAAGGCACCCCGGGTGGCTCAGTGGTTTAGCGCCGCCTGCAGCCCAGGGCGTGATCCTGGAGACCTGGGATCGAGTCCCACATCAGGGTCCCTGTGTGGAGCCTGCTTCTCCCTCTGCCTGTGTCTCTGCCTCTCTCTCTCTCTCTGTGTCTCTCATGAATAAATAGATAAAATCATTAAAAAATAAAAAAGAGAGATACACCTAAATGTAAAGACACAGAAAAGTGAAAAGTAAAAGTATGAAAAAAAGAAGTAACACTCAAATCCTAAAAGGAAACTGCTATAGTTCTATTAATATTAGACAAATTAAAAATTAATATTAAGGATAAAAGAAAGTCACTTGCCAAAAATAAAAGGTTCAATTAGACAGATACAAAAACTTTAAGCTTATAAGCACATCAAAAAATATCCTCAGGATACATAAAGTGAAAATAGGCAGATTTATAAGAAAATGACATACTCAACATAATAGAAGGAGGTTTCAACACATGCCTCTCATACAGATTTCCTCATTCCTGTCTTAAGCACTAATCTAATCAAGCAAAATTTTTAAAAAGTAAAGCTATAGAAGATGTAACCAACAGAATAAACATGATTTATATATAACTACTATACATCTTTATCAAGCAAACATGAAACATTTATAAAAAATGACAATGAACTAGGCCATAAAATATATCTTTTAAAATATCAGAGAATTAGTATCACACAAATGGCAAAATCTTAACTACTACAGTTAGGTTGAAAATGAATCTCTTAAAAAATAAAATTTAAACACCATCTGTTCACAAATTTAAAAACATAGTTTTAAATAACCCAAGGGTTAAAAAGTAAAATCAACCATAATGCAAATTAGAGGATAAATGATAAAAAGAAAGTATGATATATTAATATTATATATTAAAATTCTAGGAGCATCTAATTTATAGCATCAAATGCTCATGTAAGAAAATAGCCTAGGGGATCCCTGGGTGGCGCAGCGGTTTAGAGCCTGCCTTCTGCTCAGGGCGTGATTCTGGAGTCCCAGGATCAAGTCCCAAATCAGGCTCCCTGCATGGAGCCTGCTTTTCTCCTCTGCCTGTGTCTCTGCCTCTTTCTCTCTCTCTGTATGAGTCTCTCATGAATAAATAAATAAAACCTTAAAAAAAAAAGAAGAAGAAAATAGCCTAAACCTTCAGGTGAAACCTTATAAAAAATAACAGAATAGGGACACCTGGGTGGCTCAGCAGTTGAGCGTCTGTCAGCATGGGGCATGATCCCTGGGATCAAGTCCCATATCAGGCTCTTCACAGGGACCCTGCTTCTCCCTCTGCTATGTCTCTACCTCTCTCTGTCTCTCATGAATAAATAAATAAAACCTTAAAAAAAAAAAACAGAATAAACAAAGCAAAATAGATTTTTTTAAAGGCAAAGAAAGTAGAATAAAAAAGCAAAAATGAACTGAATATAAAACAAACATAATAGAAAGATCAAAGGAGCAAAGAAATGTTTATTTGAAAAAACTAATAAAAAATCTGATCTTTGGTGAGAATAATCAAGAAAAAAAGAAGGAAGATACGCATAAACATATTCAGATTAAAAAGGGGAACTTAAGTATGGATGCAACAGAGATGTAAATGGTTAAGTGAATACTATAATTGTTTTAATAAAGTCTTAATAAATTTGGAAACTTAGGTGTAATGGACAAACTCCAACTGAAACTTCTCACAAAGAAAACACCAGGTCCAAGGTTTCCTAAGTAAGTTCTATCAAATATCCAAACCTACATAAACTCAGAAAAGAGAAAATGAAGAAATACTTCCCAATTACTTTTACCAACCTAAAACTATGATACCAAAGCCAGGCAAGAAAGGGCAAGAAAGAAAAAAACTACTGGTCAACCTCACTCAATTATACAGAGGCAAAAATCCTAAGCAAAATATTGGGGGAAAAAAATCTAGTAATGTATCAAAAACATATAAAATGGAATGAGGTGCTGATACATGCTCCAACATGGATGAACCTTGAAACATGATGCTAAGTGAAAGAATCCAGACACAAAAGGCCACAAATTATATGACTCCATTTATATGCAATGTCCAGAAGAGACAAATCCGTAGAGACAGAAAAGCAAACTAGTGGTTGCCAAAGGAAAGGGAGAATTGGGAGTGACCAAAAACTGGTATCGGGTTTCTTTCTGAGCTGATGGAAATATACACTAATAAGATAGGGGTGATGGTTGCACAATATAATGAATATACTAAAATTAGGTTGTCCTTTAGTTAGCATTGAAATTAGCTAAAATGGGCCGAGGCTACCCTGCAGTGGGAACTGTTGGCGTGCTGGTCAGCCGTGCTGTACCGAACGCCCGAGAGGAGGACGAGGAGGGTGTGGGCATGAACATGGCAAAAGAGGACACCCTGATATAAGTGGATTATGAAATTTTTGGGAAGGTCCAAGGGGTGTTTTTCTGCAAGTACACTCAGGCTGAGGGTAAAAAGCTGGGATTGGTTGGCTGGGTCCAGAACACTGACCAGGGCACAGTGCAAGGACAATTGCAAGGTCCAATCTCCAAAGTGCGTCTTATGCAGGAATCGCTTGAGACAAAAGGAAGTCCCAAGTCACACATCGACAGAGCAAGCTTCAGGAATGAGAAGGTCATCTTAAAGTTGGATTACTCAGATTTCCAAATTGTGAAATAATTTCCTGAATTTAAACTTTCTAAAATAAACTCGCTGGCTTTGTTTTTATTGTTATTATAGAATTAGTCTATAGAATTAGTATTAGAATGGGTCAGTAAGTTATGTTAGTGTAGGTATTTGAATATTACTGTATAATATATACAGATGATAGAAAGATGACAACTCTACACAGTTCTAAATAAATAAAACTACACTAGAACCTTCAAAAAAAAAAAAAGAAATTAGCTAAAATGACTAAGAAGAAAATACCAACCAAAATCAAGTTAGAAAAAAAAAAAAAATCAAGTTAGGGTTATCCCTAAGGGAATACAAAGCACAAAGCAAAATACATTGTGTGTCCATGTCCTAAATAACACTTTCATGTAAGTCAAACAATCATATTAAAAAGTATGACCTTTGGGAGAAGGGCAAGGAAGGGGGAGGGTTGTACAATACCCACACAGCTGGACATTTGCTACCTTTTCCACCTACAGTTTTCTCACTTCCTTTCAGTATTCTCAGTCACTAGGCAACTACAATGATTTTGTTCCTCCCAGTAATACATGGTTCAGGTATGCCAAACCCCAGAGTCTGTTCTAATTTCAGATATTGACATTATACTATTAGTTAGTAATAAAGTACTGACTATATAAGACAATTTTTCTATTAACTCAGTATTAAGAACAAAAAGATACAAACTCTTCATAAATTGAAAAAAGGTCTACAAGAAATACAAAATTTGTTAACAACATTGCAATCTAATCCATTTTGTTTCATTATTTATAGGGAGAAAAAATCTAGATGAACTTTCTATCACTGCCATAAAATTAAAAACATGTTAGATAGTCTTTAAATTTTACCTCGCAAGTTCCTTTGGTTTGAATTTCCACCACGTGTCCGGTTCCCGGAAAAGGACTTTATATTTATGTTTTTGAGACTACATACAAAAAAGACAAATGTATTTAAAAATAATACTTTCATGAAATTAAATGCACTGTTTCCAAACACACAGCATGTTAAAACTGAAAGAATCTAAAAGATTATCTAATTGTCATGAGTTTGTTAAACTGGCAAAAGGTACAATCTCTTTGACCCAGCAATTAATTTCCAGAAAGCTAGGTTACTAAAATAATTATTTAAGAGTGTAAATACACACACATATTCACACACACACAGGATATCCAGTTCACCATTATTCTTTATAGCAAAAGAAGATAACACAGTGACTATAAATATGCAACTGGCTAAATAAATGAAGGTACAACCATACAATGCAAATACAGCAATTTAAAAATTGCTGTATGTGCTAATGAGAAAAGGTCCCAATATAAACTGTTAAGAAAGTAGGATACAGAATTTCCACTTGGGTAAAAAAGAATTATTCACACATTTTTACATGTATCGAAAATTTCTAGAAAGATTCTCAAAAATATTGTTAAAAGCATCTACCTTGAGGCCGTAGGACTTTTTTAGCATTCCTTTTTATAATTTGGATACCATACATGTACTACTTTTATAACTTTAAAACTATTTTAGGGACGCCTGGGAAACTCTGGCTCAGGGCATGATCCCAGGTCCTGGGATTGAGTCCCACATCAGGCTCCCTGCATGAGCCTGCTTCTCCCTCTGCCTCTGTCTCTGCCTCTCACTCCAGGTCTCTCATGAATAAATAAACTAAATCTTTAAAAAAAAAAAAAAACCTATTTTAAATAATAGCTTATTCTATTTTTCAAACCTCTAATATGGCTATAATCTAAGAGCCATGCCCTACGTTTGTATACTAGATCCATCTTCTCTCTCTACCTCAAGGGTAACTGAGTTTAGCAACTGGCTCCTCTTTCTGAGGTGGCATTAATTCCACACACCCCCTCCTTGAATCAGTCTCATCACATTCAGTTATTTCTCCCACCTTATTCTTAATCTCCTTCCCCTGGCCAGTGATCTCCCCCATTTTCCTGTTCTCTTTTGTAGGAAAATGTCTCAAAATAATTACTACACTGTCTCCAATTCCTCTCACCTCTCTTAAACCCACTCCAGGGCAGCCCCAGTGGCTTAGCAATTTAGCTTCAGCTCAGGGTGTGATCCTAGAGACCCAGGATCGAGTCCCACGTCAGGCTCCCTGCAAGGAACCTGCTTCTCTCTCTCTCTCTCTCTCTCTCTCTCTCTCCCCCCCTAATAAATAAATAAAAATCTTTAAAAAAACCAACCCACTCCAATTGGCTATCCCTCTCAAACTGCCCATCAAGATCATAAATTACTTCCACACTGAAAAATGCTATGGTTAATTCTCAGTCCTAACTTGACTCTCAGCAGCATTTGTCACAGTTCATCACTCCCTCTCCTGACACTTTCTTCCTACACTCTTGGTTTTTCCTCCTGTCCCACTGGAAGGGTGTTCTCACTCTTTTTTGGTAGTCCTTCTTTTATCTCCAGACCTCTTCCCACTTAGTCCTTGACTTAATCTTTCATCCTCTACTCGAATCTATACTCACTACTTTGGTAATATCATCCCATTCCTTGGCTTTGAGTATCACCCATATAGTAATAACTCTGAGATGCATATCTTTAGCTCAGAATTCACTCCTGAACTCCAAGTTCAAAGATTCAAAGACCTATTCAAACAAATTTAAAATATTCAAACCTAAACTTGCAAAATCCATTACCCCATACCCACCACAAAACTATCTTATCTGAACCCTTCTCCATCATTCTCAGCTCATGACAACCTCTAATTACACAGGCCAAAAACCAACCTGTATGTCACAATGAACTCCTCTCTTTCACATCCATATCAATCTAGTAAGAAATTCAGTTGGCTCTACTTTCAAAATATATCCAGAATCTAACCACTATTCACTGTCACCTTCACTGCCACCATGTTGGTCTAAGCCATAGGATTTCTTACTTTAATTACCACTACAGTCTTCTAATTAGTCTCCCTGCTTCCATCCTCGCTACTGCCCAAACCCCAAGTCTATTCTGAACACTGAACTATAGCAATCCTGTTAATAGCTGGATCATGTCATTACTCTGCTCAAAACCCTGTTATGGACTAAATGGCCATGTCCCTTCAAACAACATATGTTGAAACCCCACTCCCCTCATGTGACTGTGTTTGGAGATAAGGCCTTTACGGAGATAATTAAGGTTAAATGAGAATATAAGGGTAAAAGTCTGATCTGACAAGATTTGTATGCTAATAAAAAGAGACATCAAAATTCATTATTCACCATAAGAGAAAACGGCAAGAAGGCAACCATCTATAAGCCAGGAAAACAATTCTCACCCAGAAGCCAACCCTGTCAGACCTTGACCCAGGACTTCAAGCATCCAGAACTGTGAGAAAACAAATTTCTGTTGTTTAAGACACACAGTCTGTGGTATCTTACTATGGCAGCCTGAGCAGATTAATACAACTTCCATGTGATTTAAGGTAAAAATCTAAAATTCTTACATGAGCCAATGAGCCCTTCTATAATGTGCCCTACCATCTCTCCCAACTACCATTACACCTCTGACCTCATCTCCCACTACTGATCCCCTCAGTTTTCTGACAAGATGCAAAGAATTCATTGCTATTTTGTCATTCTGACAGAAAAGCCCCCAATCAACCTAGGTAAGTGACATAACACCCGGTAATGACTCTACTCACTTTCATCTCCTTACCTCAGTACCAAATTTTATATACTTTATTCAGGGGCTGGCCACACCCCCGGTCTCTAATTACCTAAAGGAGTGCCCTACAGCTCTTAGGATCAAATTAATTTTAAATGAATACACATACACGGGGCGGGGGGGGGGGGGGGGAGCTATGAATATAAAGACTTTTTCAACTCCCATATCAATAGGCAAATCTTAATAATGTTATATTATTTGGGAGGATTGTGATTTATGTTAAACTATATAATAGCTCACAAGGGAAACTATATATATATTTAAAGCAAAGTAGTAAGTTTTGCCAGGTGCCACTAAGCAAGCATATCTGAATGCTTGCTACTTAACCCCAACTCACTACTTAACTACTTTTGTAAATGATAGTCATGATAGTAATAGACTGTTATCTCCAATCTATTCCACTCCCCCACAGCTCTCATTATCTTGCTGCCAAAAGGAGCAAAAAGTGATCCTCTTCTCTACAGTAACTGTTATAGCTACTTCCTTTTGAAGAAAAAAATGAATTTGATATTCTATGATAAGCAGCAGTTCTTCATACTTCTAAGTAGAGTTGGGGAGAGAAAGGGAATCAATATTGGAAAACAGGGATCCCTGGGTGGCGCAGCGGTTTGGCGCCTGCCTTTGGCCCAGGGCGCGATCCTGGAGACCCTGGATCAAATCCCACGTCAGGCTCCCGGTGCATGGAGCCTGCTTCTCCCTCTGCCTGTGTCTCTGCCCCTCTCTCTCTCTCTCTCTCTGTGTGACTATCATAAATAAATTTAAAAAAAATATTGGAAAACAGCTTCATAATTTCAATTATTATATAAGAAAAAAGGGAAAGAAAAATATTATGGAAGCCTGAAGGCTAGATAAAAATCAGTAACACAGTAATGCATAGCCTTCTTTCTTTTCTATATAAAAAAATGAGTATTAAAGAACTTTCTAAGATGACAGCAGGAAGCTAAGGGAAACTTACTGAAAAGTCAAGTAAGGTTAAGGGAGAAAATATTACCCATGATAAATACGTTAGGCTAGAAATCAGGAACTCCTGAGGCCAGAAAGCAAACTGAATTTCAATTCCCAATGTACTAAAATTGAGTCTTTGTTCCCTCTACTGCCCCCGCACAGAAGTAAAATCTCATTTGCTCTCAAAGGACATTAATTTTATTCAAAAAATGAAGAGTCACACCTTCAAAACAGTACAAGTGCACTAGACAGCAAAGGAAGTACAGATTGGATATGCTGAGGGCATAAAAGAAGGACATTCATTAACTGAAAAAACATAAACTGAGCTTTAATGTGCCAGACATGTGCTAATATTGGAGGAATAAACAATTCCCCATAATCACAAAAGGTTCATTCATTCACCATTTTAACTCAACAAATATATATTTACTATATGCCAAAGCACAGTGCTATACCACGGAGATTCAATGATGAATAAAACAACAGACCTATCCTCAAAAATATATAGATGGCTTACAGCCAAATTTAGCCCATCAGCCAGTATTTCTACGGCCTAGGCACTAAGGATAGTTTTTATGTCTTTAAAGGATTATTTAAAAAGAAAAATAAGAAAAAGGAGATACTACAACAAAGACTGTATGTGGCCCACAAAAACCTAAAATACTTACTATCTGACACTATAGAAAAAAGTCAGCCAACCCATGGCCTACTGATAAAAGTAGCATGTTTAAAGGTATCACAGAAGTAAACCAGAGTGCCATTAAAACAGAAAGAGCTTTTTAGTAAGTTAAAAAATACTAACTTCCTGAAAAAGGTGACATCAAAGCAAGGCAAAAAACAAAAAAAGAATCTTGGCAAATTTGGAGAGCTGAAAAGAGTTGAATTTATAAAAGTCTGAACTTATCAGAAGAGCAAAATCAAAAGAAATTTGGTCACTACAAAGATCCACCAATATTGATTCTGCCAAGTAACAGCAATAAGGAAAAATATTTTCTGTGTATATACATACATATACATGCACACACACACATATATATATACTCATACGAACATAAAATTATAATTTATTATGTATATACACACAAACATAAAATCATAATACCATTACTTTTTCATAAAAGACATCAAAAATGAAATCACCGGATTTAAAAATGAAATCTCCTAATTTGAAAACTGAATAAATTTAGCTTTATGCAAAAACTATTTCTATTTTTCTCATTTTGCTTAAGACCAGAGAAAGCTCAGTTACAGACCATCCAAACAAAGATTGTTTGCTTGAGATTCACTTGTGTAATTAACGTCTCCCAACAATTTCAAACTTATTACTATAGACTTATGACAAGTTATGGTACAAACCAAAGAAACATAAGGCTTCATTTCCCATGCCTGTAGGTTTGTATTATCTATTATTATAGGAGACACCTTCTTCTCAAATGCTTCTTTTGCTGAAAAACACAAACAGAAAATGACAAATCGCTCTTTATAACAGTATTAAGTATATTCTGTTGAAATTTTAAAAATCTGATCTTGGGGATCCCTGGGTGGCTCAGCGGTTTGGCACCTGCCTTTGGCCCAGGGCATGATCCTGGAGTCCTGGGATCAAGTCCCACTTCGGGCTCTCTGCATGGAGCCTGCTTCTCCCTCTGCCTGTGTCTCTGCCTCTCTCTCTCTGTGTGTCTCTTATGAATAAATAAATAAAATCTTTAAAAAAATAAAAATCTGATCTTGTCTCCGTAATTTGAAAATCACAGATATGTACTAACTTTACTCAAAACCCTACTTCTTCTTTTTTTTTTATTAAGAGAGAGGAAGGAGCAATAGGAGAAAGAGAGAATCCCAAGTAGGCTCCACACCCAGCTCAGAGTCCAACGCCAGCCAGGCTTGATCCCACGACCATGAAATCACAACCCGAGCCAAAATCAAGAGTTAAATGTTTAAACAACTGAGCCACCCAGGCACCCCAAACTCTCCTTCTAAAAATCACTTTTGAGCATATAAAAAATTAAAGTACCAGTAAATATTGGATTATAAGTAATATATACTAAAGTTATAATCAGGGATATCTGGGTGGCTCAGCAGTTGAGCCTCTGCCTTTGGCTCAGGGTGTATCCCAGAGTCCTGGGATCAAGTCCTGCATCGGGCTTCCTGCATGGAGCCTGCTTCTCCCTCTGACTATGTCTCTGCCTCTCTCTGTGTGTCTCTCATGAATAAATAAAATCTTAAAAAAAAAAGTTATAATCAGAGAAAATTATAAAACTAAGTTTTTTTTGTTTTGTTTTTTGTTTTTTTTTATAAAACTAAGTTTTATGTGTTACATATATAAACAGCATAAATGTGGGAAATAAATCATATCATAAAAACAACTACGCTAAAAGCAATGTGGTATCCTCCTGTATAAGATTCCACATGGGAAAAGAACCTTAGTAGAAAAACTAATATCCAGGGGCACCTGGGTGGCTCAGTCAGTTAAGCATCTACCTTCAGCTCAGGTCAGGTTCCCAGGTTCCTGGGATAGAGTCTCACACCCCTGCTAAGCAGGGAACCTGCTTCTCCCTCTCCCTTTGCCTGCCACTCGTCCTGCTTGTGCTTTCTTACTCACTCTCTCAAATAAATAAAATCTTTAAAAAAAGAAAAAGGAAGGAAGGAAGAAAGAAAAACTAATATCCATGTGTGCCTGGCTGCCTCAGTCAGTAGAGCATGCAATTCTTAATCCCAGAGTTGTGAGTTCAAGCCCCATGTTGGGTATGGAGCCCAATTAAAAACAAAAATTATTTTAAAAATTAATTAATTTAAAAAATGTTTTAAATAAAAACTAATATTCAAATAAAGTCTGGAGTTTAATATTAGTTAACAGTAGTACACCATTGTTAATCTCTTAGTCTTGACAAATGTACCATGGTTAAATAAGATGTTAACATTAGAGGGAAATGGGTGACAGGTATACAGTAACTCCATATTGCCTTTGCAACCTACCCATATATCAAAAATTATTCCAAAATAAAGTTTTAAAACAAACAAGCACAAAATATAAACAAACACATGCAAAAAGACATAATAATCTGAAATAAAGAAAACACTATACTGTTGTACAAGAGATTTTTCTCAAAAAACTACCTTTCTTCCCAAGGAATTAGGCCATTCACAAAATTAACAATGAAGCACAATAAATAAGCCTTACAAGGAAATTATGTGGAAGTTTTAAAAGTTCCCTGTACTCTCTTACAACTCAATAATAAGAAAGCAAAGAACCTAATTTAAAAATAACAAAGACTAAGAAGCTAGAAAAAGGAGACAAAACTCAAACCTAGCAAAAGGGAGGAAATGACAAAGATAAGAACAGAAATAAATGATACAGAAACTAAAAAAATAATAGGACAGATCAATGAACCCCGAGCTGGTTCTTCGAAAAGATCAACAAAATTAATAAACCTCCAGCCAGACTCATCGAAAAAGAGAGGATCCAAATATACAAAATCATGAAAGGAAGAGGAGAAATAAATAACAATCAACACCACAAAAATATAAACAATTGTTTCAGATTATGAAAACCTACAGGTCAACAAACTGCACAACTTAGAAAAAAATGAATAAATTCTTCGAGACATATTACCTAACAAAAACTAAAGCAAGAAAATATAGAAATTTTGAACATACTAATTATCAGCAATGAAACTGAATCACTAATCAAAAAATTCCCAAAAAACAAAAGTCAAGGACCAGATGGCTTCACATTTAAAGAATAGTTAAAACCCATTCTGCTCAAACTATTCCGAAAAATAAAAGAGGAAGGAAAACTTCCAAATTCATTCTATGAGGCAAGCATTACCCTGATACCAAAATAAGATAAGCACCACAAAAAAAGAGAAATACAAGTCAGTATCACTCACGGATATAAAAGCAAAAACCCTCAACAAAATCCAACAATACATTAAAAAAAAAAAAAAAAAAAGGCCAACAATACATTTAAAAAAATCCTACACCACGATAAAGTGGAATCCATTCCTGGGTTGCCAGAGTAGTTCAATATTTGCAAAACAATCAACATGATACATCACATCAATAAGAGAAAGGATAAAAATCATAGATCATTTCAACAGATGCAGAAGCATTTGACAAAGTACAACAACCATTCACAAGGAAAGTCATCTGCAAAGTAGGTCTAAATGGAACATACCTCAACATAATAAAGGCCTTATTTGAAAAATCCAGAGCCATCATCATATCCAATGCTAAAAAACTGAGAGCTTTTGCTCTAAGATCAGGAACAAGACAAGGATATCCACTCTCACCACTTTCATTCAACATATTACTGGAAATCCTGGCCACAGCAATCAGAGGAGAAATAAAAAAAAAAAATAAAAGGCACCCAAATTATAAGGAAGAAATAAAACTCACAGTATCTACAGATGACATGAGATACTATATATAGAAAACCAAAAAACTACCAGAACTGATAAAACTGAATTCAGCAAAGTCACAAAATACAAATTCACTGTACAGAAACATGCTGCACTCTATAATAATGAAGCAGAAAGTAAAATTAAGAAAACAATCCCATCTATAATTGCACCAAAAACAATACAGTATCTAGGAATAAACTCAGCCAAAGAAGTGAAAGACCTATACTCTGAAAACTGTAAAACACTGAAGAAAGAAATTCAAGATGATACAAAGAAATGTGGAAAGGTATTCCATGCTCACGGGCTAGAAGAAAAATACTGTTAAAATGTCTATACTACCCAAAGCAATCTACAGATTTAATGCAATCCCTATCAAAATACCAAGAGCATTTTTCATAGAACTAAAACAAAAAATCCTAAAATTTGTATGGAACCATAAAAGACCTCAAATAAGCCAAGCAATCTTGAAAAACAGAAACATAACTAGAGGTATCGCAATTCCAATTTCAAACTACAATACAAAGTGATAGTAACTAAAATAGTCTGGACCTAGCATAAAAAGAAAAACACAGCTCAATGGAACAGAAAATAAGTAAGTAAATAAAATTAATAATTATATGGCCAATTAATCTTCAATGAAGAAGAAATGAATATACAGTAAGAAAAATAATCTCTTCAAATGGTGCTGGAAATACTGGACAACATGCAAAAGAATGAAAGTAACCCACTTTCTTTCACCATACACACACACAAAAAAAACCCTCAAAATGGATTAGAAACCTTTATGTGAGACCTGAAACCATAAAAATCCTAAAGAGCACAAGCAATAATTTCTCTGATATCCACCGTAGCAACATTTTTCTAGATAGGTCTCCTGAGGCAAGAAAAATGAAAGCAAAAATGAACTACTGGGATTACGTCAAAATAAAAGGTGTCTGCTCACAAAAGAATACAACCGAAAGAAAGAAAGAAAGAAAGAAAGAAAGAAAGAAAGAAAGAAAGAAAGAAAAAGAATACAATCTACACAATTAAAAGGCAACCTACCGAATGAGAGAATGTATTTGCAAATGACATATCTGATAAAGGGTGAGTATCCAAACACATATAAAGAATTTATACAACTCAACACTCCAAAAACAAATAATCCAATTAAGTTAAGCTCCCTACTCTTCAGTTTGAGGAGAGCCGTTTTTACTCTCCCACTGTCCCCCCCCCCCCATAACAATAAAATCAATCAAGGAAAGAGTAGCGGTTAGCAACACAGGAAATACTTCCTATTAGGAAATAGGAACCAAAGCACACCAGAGAACTGGAGACATCTTGAACTATTCTGAGACCCATATAGAAAAGCTGATACACTTTTGACAACATCTCCAGTGATTAAACTAAAAAAATAAAGAATAAAACCAAAACATGCCATGCCATGTTCTAAGCATTTTATAAAAATTAACTTGTTTAATCCTCATAACAATTCTGTGAGATAAGACTACCTCTGGGACACATGGGTGGTGGCTCAGTGGTAGAATGTCTGCCTTTGGCTCAGGTCATGGTCCCGGGGTTCTGGGATCGAGTCCTCCATCAAGCTCCCTGAGAGAAGCCTGCTTCTCCCCAAGGGAAGCCTGCTTCTCTATCTGCCTATGTCTCTGCCTCCTCTGTGTGTATCTCATGAACAAATAAATAAAATAAAATCTTTAAAAAAAAATAAGACTACCTCTTTCACCTCTTGCTATGTAACTTGTTATAATTTTTTATGTTATATATAGTTGAATAAATAATTCAGTTTAACAATTAAATGAGGGGGCACCTAGTTGGCTCAGTCGGTTAAGCATCTACCTTCTGGAGTCCTGGGATGGAGCCCAGAGTGGGGCCCTGCTCAGCGGGAAGTCTGTTTCTCCCTCCCTCTGCCCCTCACCCATTCATGATTTCTCTCTCTCTCTCAAGTAAATGAAATCTTTAAAAAAATGAAGGGGAGGGATCCCTGGGTAGCTCAGCAGTTTAGCGTCTGCCTTTGGCCCAGGGCGTGATCCTGGAGACCGGGATTGAGTCCCACATCAGGCTCCCTGCATGGAGCCTGCTTTTCCCTCTGCCTGTGTCTCTGTCTCTGTCTCTCATGAATAAATAATTTTAAAAAATAAAATTTTTAAAACAAAATGAAGGGGATTGTAACTTTCTAAAAACTGTGTATCTCTCAAAATACAAATATTTTATATTGCTCTTAGTATTACCCAAAATCTATTGTCTATTCTTACCACGATTCTGGTTCCACTCGTGTGCTTCTCCTAGGTACTTTACATCAAACTGATACTGCCCATTTATGTAAAAATAATCATCAGTACTAAGAATAATTCCACTTGGATTATCCTCTTGCAAAGTCCTGTGAATGACAAATGGAATTATTTTTATTAATTTTTCTTCTAAATTCCCTCTCCTAATTTTTACAAAGCCGTAATTCAAATAAAGAACTCGTACTGTTACTTAAAAGTGAGAATATAATAATATCCAGACAAATCATACTGGAAAACCTCTAGGCAGAAGTCTGATACCCAAGAAAACTGAACTAAAACAAGTCTATTTTATTCCTTGAATTCAAAATCAATCATGGCTTTTTAACTCTATAATCAAAGTTGAACTTCTTTTCTTCTCAAACTAGTTCTCTTTCACATAAAGCTATTTCTACTGATTTCAGAAGCTCGTAATCTTGGAATTATCTTTAAATCTTTCTTATCTCCCAAAATGATATTCTAAGATAAAAGAATTCAATAAAAATTTCTGGAGAAAAGAATGCTGATATTAGCTACAAAGAAAAAAATAGTAAAGAGAAAAGATCTTAGCAGTTACTAACATCTCTATTAAACAAAAGGATTTCACATGGTCATACTCTCCATCATAAATGTTCAGGTTCAAGTATTATACTTTTTAAAAACTCAATTAAACCTCATACCTTGCCAAAAAAGATTTTCCTGATCCTGGAAGCCCTCTGAGGAGAACAAGAACTAGTCCAACATAAGATGATGTCTTCTTTCTTGCGACCTGAGAAACTGGGGTTTCTTGTACTTGATAAGCACTTGTTCCCTCTTTAGTTCTCCATACCTTTGTTGGGGAAGTGTGAGAAATAACTGGAGGGGGAAACGTGTAGCTGACGGGTCTCCAGTGCGTAGCGGTGGTTACAACAGGAGCTACAAAGGCATGATTTCCTTGAAAGAGGTCAAAAGCAGGAATCATTGGATTCCACATTGGTGGAGGTGGAGGAGGAGGCAGCAGCAGAGGGAGAGGGGTAAGTACAGGACAGTAATTCACATCTTTCCCCTTTGACGGAAGTTCAGTATGTTTGTGTGGTTTGAAACTGAATTCTTCAGAAGGTACAAATGCATCGGGGACAGAGGCAGATTTCTGATCCCCACTTGTACCTAGTAAATCAAGCCCCAAATTTTGCGCAGTAAGGCTTAAAGGAGCCTGAGGTTCACTGGCATCCAAATCTACAGGGGCTTGAGAGAACGGAGTCTCAACACACTCAGATTCTAAAAGCTCTTTCTGCCTTTGACTGAGATTGCTACTACTCACCATAGTGTCATTTGCTACATTTAAAGAACTACTGAGAAGAGGATCTTCCAATGCCAATATGTCATCCTTTATAAAATTTTTGGACTCATCAGAAACAGAATGTGAAATTAAGGTGTTTGAACTTAATGCAGAGGCAGAATTCTCCAAATTTTCACTGTCCAAATCCATATTCTGTGTAGAAAGAATGGGAGTCATATTACTTGAATCTGAATTTATAAATGCACTCGGGTCACTAAAACTATTAACACCTTGCAAAGGCAAAAATGAGTATACTTGGTCATCAGGAGAAGAGTTCAATTTCTCAAAAGCATTCTGTATTAAGGAATCCAAGTCTTCAGTTAGCTGCATGTCCAAAAACGAATCCATTTTTGAATCTTCCCTCTCTTCTTCAGGAGTATATTTTTCCATTATTTCACGTCCCACAGCACTTACTTGGTTCTCGGAGGCAACAAAGCTTTTTAAAGATGATTCTTCTACCTTGGCATCAGTGGCAGATAATTCTAATAGACAATCCATTGCATTTTCAACTGTACAAGAAGAGCAATATATAGTTGTATTGAAAACAGTAAATAAAATCCATGTAAAATTATACTTTTTGTACTGAATGGAATACAGAAATTTATAAATATTCAAGTCATTTTTTAATTAACATTTTACTAATACACAAGTCTGTATCAATACAAAGTTTGAATGATGGAGTCATGCAATGATGTTACTTACTATCAGACAAACTATAATAAACTAGGATGATAGGGATCCCTGGGTGGCGCAGCGGTTTGGCGCCTGCCTTTGGCCCAGGGCACAATCCTGGAGACCCGGGATCGAATCCCACATCGGGCTCCCGGTGCATGGGACCTGCTTCTCCCTCTGCCTATGTCTCTGCCTCTCTCTCTCTCTCTCTCTCTCCCTCTCTGTGACTATCATAAATAAATAAATAAATTTTTTTAAAAAATAAGAAACTAGGATAATAAACTGCCACCAAGTAGACAATCCCTGATAAATGTAAGTAAAACAAAATAATATATATAAACTATATCTATAAGTATCTATAATTACATATATTATGGTTATTTATAAAGACCCAAACACCAAAAAATAAAAAATAAAAAAACTTTTAAAAGACCCAAAAATCCGTTAATTTATTCAAAATTTAGCTATTGCCCATCTTTTTAAAAATTAAGCATTTTTAAGTACTCTCCTGTAAATCTGATTTGTTTATATAGTTTATGCAATGAATTTCATTTAATACCAAAAAAAGCTATTAGCATGTATTACGTATCAGACATACTTTGTTCAAAGTAAATAAGACATAGTTTTTACTACACTTAAGGGATTTTTTGCAGTCTAACAGAGGCAATTAAAGATAATTAAATTAGAAGACAATTACATTATAATATAATATAGACTAAATAATGCACACTTTTAGTAATACACAAATGCCATAGCAGCCTTATAAGAGAATAAGGAAGATTCCACAAAAGGTAATATGTGATCTGGGACTGGAAGATTAAAAAGAAACTTGTCAGACAAAGGAGGGAAAGGGAAAGCCAATCTTGAAAACACAAAGCATGTTTAAGGTATTAAGAAAAGTTGGTTGGAATGTGGGTACACAGTAGTATGGTAATAAAAGGAGACAAAACTGGAAAAAAAGAGCAAGTGGAACTGGCAAGAGTGCTATATGTCATGGTAGGACATACCAATTTTACCTTCTAGGGAAACTACTTGTCACCAAATTTGAGCTAGGCACTTTGTACGTATCACCTCAATGAGCCCTCAAATAATACTGTGAGGTATAGTATTTCTAGCAAATAGATGAAGAAAATGAAGTTCGAAAAGTACATTAACTTAACCCAAGTCACACATATATTAAGTGACAGAGCCAGGACTGGTATGTCTGACTCCAGCTCTTTCTGTCCTAATACAAATACAGAATTAGAATTGTTAGGCATTTGAAGTTTGGAGTTTTGCTTATTTCTGTGCTTTGTTTTGTTTTAAGGAAAATAAATAGGGAAAGGAAGCACAGCACAGGAGTAACAGCTCTGGTCTGGACTCAGAAAACCAAACTTCAATCCCTACTTGCTGGCTATGACCCTTTGAACAAATTACTGAACTTTCCAAAGCCTTGATTTTCTCATGTGCAATATGGGGATAATAAAAGTACCTACCTCATAGGGTTGTTGTGAGGATTAAATGAGATAATCCATGAAAATGTGCTGTGCACAAGGACTGGCACCTAGTAAGCACCCAATTAATGTTCCCTTAAGAAGAAAAACAAAGAGGGATTGGAGGGACAAGCCTGGCAAAGATACCAGTTAGGAGATTATAGCAATAGTACAAAGGTTAGAAGCCCTATACATGGGGGAGGGGGGAGGGAGAAAGCAAGCACACAAGCAAACATAAGTATTTCTATGAAGAAAATTTATATAATAGAAAAACCCCAAGATCAACCCAAAAAATTAACATGTATATAATAAAAAACAGTATTAAGTAAAAATAAGCAAACGATCATGATATATATATATATATATATATATATATATATATATATATATAATCACAAAAGAAAAGTCTTTACACAGAGTGTTGGAAAAAATTAAACCAATGGTATAAAACAATACATGAATAAACAATTCACACAAGAACATAAAAATCAATAAACCATCTACAAAAATACTCAATAACCTTATTTAAAGGAAAAAAAATAAGAAAAAGCAAAATTTTATTCCTATTAAAAACTTTAATACTAAATGCTGAAAGGGCACACCTCTTTGGTAGGCAATTTATGGGTATGTTTCCAAGAACTGAAAACTGTTCTTACCTTGTGACATACGAAAATAAAACGTTGGAACTAAGAAAAAAAGCCAAAAGAAGGGAAAAATGATTTGTGCCACGATGTCCTCTGCTGTATTAATTATTCATGAAAAACTTATATATAATTTAAAAATCAGAGCACAATTAAGTGGGATATTAGAAAGCTATTAAAAATAAATACAAAGATCACAGCAACACTGAAAAAAATGCTTATGTTAGGTTTAAAAAGCAGAATATGTAGTTTCATTAACACTATTTATTCAGACTACTCAAAATATCAGTATTTATAAATAAGGTGTAGAGAAGATCCTAGAAAAGAAAAATGTTTTCTGTTAGGATGTAAGGGTAATATATTTTTCTCGTCGTTCCTCATTACTAGGTTAGTATATGTGAAACAAATTTTAAACACCTCAACATCAGGAAATAAAAAAGTAGTACATAAAAAAAAAATCATACATAAAACTCTATACACTATCAATTTTGAGCATAATGTGGACTGCTGAAAACTGTTTTTTTGCACACATAACAGGATAGTTAATATATTCTCATCACAGTCCATGTAATGAATAAAATGAATTTTAATGCATTAGCAAAACTTCCCCAATCTAGAAAAATTTTATCTTATACTAATCATGGCCAATAGTAACACTAAGCATCAACATTTAATTTACTCAGTCAACTTTGAAAGTTTGTCAACATACTTCTAATCAATTTATTATAAGTTATTAATAATACTAAATTGATGGGATCCCTGGGTGGCGCAGCGGTTTAGCGCCTGTCTTTGGCCCAGGGCACGATCCTGGAAACCCGGGATTGAATCCCATGTCGGGCTCCCGGTGCATGGAGCCTGTTTCTCCCTCTGCCTATGTCTCTGCCTCTCTCTCTCTCATTCTGTGTGACTATCATAAATAAATAAAAATTTAAAAAATTTTAAAAAAAATAATACTAAATTGAAAACTTAACCAAAAAAAAACAAAAAAAACCCTCAGTTCTTACCAAAAAAAGTCCTATGAGGTACATACTACTATTTTTCTAACAGATAAGAAAACAGACCCAGAGAGGTTAAGTAGCGGAACTGGAAATCTAACCCAAGTTTCCTGACTCCAAAGCCAGTATTGTGAAACACTACTCTAATAATATCAACTTCTAATCAGCTCTCATTCCCACAATTACAATGATCTTTTCACTCAATAAATATTTACTGAGGTCCTGTATGAATCATTTGTTATTTTAGGGACTGGGGATACAGCAGTAAAAACTTTATAAAATCTGTCTTTATGGAGCTTACATATTAAGACAGCAGTCCTCAATTGGGAATGATTCTGGTCCCCAAGGGATATATGACAATAGGTGGACACATTTTTCATTGCCACAACAGGCTACTGAAGGTTGCTACTGTCAACTAGAGAGTATAGGCCAGGGATGCTGCTAAACATCCTATGATTCACAGGAAAGCCACTCACAACAAGGAATCATCTGGTCCAAAATGTTAGTAGTGCCAACCTGTTCTAGAGGGAAGATAAAAAGAAATAAAACACAGAATGTAGTATCTATACATATATCTTACACTTAGAACTGTGTATTTCTTGAGAGCAGAAAAAACTGCTTTCTTCTCATAACACAATACCAACTTAGTACCTTGCCCATAGCAGGTGCTCGATAAATTAACAAAAGAGAAATATGGCAGTTGTTTTTCTATATTACTATTGGCAGTAAAGTACATGAAGGCTTCTTATACTATGCAAAGGGTTCAAACTAAACTTTTTCTCACCTTTGAAATCACATTCAGAAAGCATCAAATACACTACATCAGGGTCCAGATCTGAAAACATCTCTGAGATACTGGTGAAGAGTTCCTCCCGATCAACTTTTGTCTCACACATGGAAGGAAGAGTAGTGGGTGGCTCCTCACGACTAGCCATACTGGATACAACTTCCTGAGAGCTTGCAGTCTTCCGAAAAGGATTTCCCCCAAGATTTTTCTTTCTCCTTGGCATTCTGACTTCCAAAACTAAAATGTTCCCCTTTTCTTATTTAAGATGTTTGATATTTAAGTCATACCTCAAAGAAAACACGGTTAAATATCTTGTACAATCCAGCAGTAATAGGACCTAAAATAGAAAGCAAGTAAAAACACTCAGACTATATAGTTGTATTTCCATTTCTAAAATCGGAATGACGTCTTTATTTAACACTACGGAAGTACCATCAACTCTGATAGCAAAGCCAAAAAGCAATAAGACAACCTCTTACACTTTCTCCAAAATATTCAAGTTTTGCCAGGATTGAACATGTTAAAAGATTAAGATATTAACAAATAAAATGAATTTTCACAACAGTGAGCACACTGTTTCAATGTCATTATTTTTAAAAACAGTATTCATAAATGACAATGCCTACTGAGCACCTACATTTGGATGTCTAATAGGCATCATAAACTTAACATGTCCAAAACTGAGCTCCTGATCACCTCCTCCACATCCGTTCTTCCCAGTCTTTCCCATCTCAATTAATGCAGCTCTGTTCTTCCAAATGCTCAACTGAAAAATCTCAGAATAATTCCTAACTCCTCTCATCCCACATCCAACCACTAAACAAATTTTGTCAATGCGACCCTCAAAATGTATCCAGAATATGACCTTACCTCACTATCTCAGTTACCACAGCCTGTTGCCTGAATTAAGTCTCCAAATCAATCTCCCTTCAGTCTCTCTCTATATGTAGGCACAGCGATCAGTGACTCAGTTATAAACTATAGGTCAGATCACATGTATCTTCTGTTTAACTATCTACTGACTTCCCATCTCACTCAGAACCCTTAAAATGGCCTATAACCCAGACATGTGTTACTTCTGTACTGTCATCCCTAAACCTCTTTCCCTTGCTCAGTGTCATTCCAGCCACACCTTACCTCCTTGTTCTTCAAACACACCAGCCACACTCTCCCATGGGAAACTTTACATTTGGCTCCCTCTTCCTAAACTACTGCTCTCTCAGGTATGAAGTCTATTTCCTCAACACCTTGCTATCATTACTCAAATGTCACCCACTCCAAAAGCCAGTCTCCAACACCACTTATCCTTCTTCCCTTCCTTGAATTTTCTCAGAAGTCTTATCTTCTACCACGGTATATGTTTTATTTGTTTTTATTGTATTTACTACCCATATTCAAGTACAGTATAAGTAAGCTCCACAAGGGCAGGGACTCATTGATCTAGAGAACCTCAGATAGTCTACTTGCTTTTCTCCACTTAGATGTATCTAATAAACATTTCAAATTTAACATATCCCAAAAGAAATGTCTGATAATCTCCCCAAAATCTGCTCTAACCATTTGGTCTGGCAACTGTTCTCATTCACTCATATTCCAGGGGCCTAAATGCTTTTTCTGCTTCCAACTCTTGTCTCCTGCAGTCTATTTTCAACACATGAGCCAGAATGATCTATGTACAACATACATACATACAACAACACACAAGTCAGAAAGAATCAAAGTCTTCTCTATGTCACTCAGTGAAAGCTCAAATTCTTACAGTGGCTCACCTCCCTGCTGGCCTTTGATATAAACTCTCCCCCAGAATCCTTCAAACCTTTATTCAAGTGTCACAATCAATTATTTCTTCCTTGATTATCCAATTTAAAATCATGTCCCCCACTGCCTCTGCCCCAATCTCCCTTTCCTCTAACCACCCATTGCCCTTAACACCCATACTATAAAATTTACCTTTTAATTAAATTTACTGTGTCATAGCTCTCTCCATCTTCCAGAACTGCACTGTCAATATGGCAGCCACCAGCCACATGTGCCTATTTAAATTTAAATTAATTTATATTAAATTATACCTTTCTCTATTAATAGCACATAAAGTAGAATTTGGAGGAGGGAAAAAAAATGCCAGAGACAGAGAAGGACATTATGTGATCAAAAGGGACAGAGCACCAAGAGGACACAGCAACCCTAAATGTGTCTGTACCAAACAAAAGAGCTACTAAATAAGTGAAGCAGAAGCTGACAGAATTGAAATGAGAAACAAATTGACAATTCTAGAAACTTCAAACCCCCGTTCTCAACAACTGATAGAATTGATAAACAAAGAAGATAAACAAGAATATAAAACACAGGGGATCCCTGGGTGGCACAGCGGTTTGGCGCCTGCCTTTGGCCCAGGGCGCGATCCTGGAGACCCAGGATCGAATCCCACGTCAGGCTCCCAGTGCATGGAGCCTGCTTCTCCCTCTGCCTATGTCTCTGCCTCTCTCTCTCTCTCTCTGTGTGTGACTATCATAAATAAATTAAAAAAAAAAAAGAATATAAAACACAGTAATACCATCAATTAAGAATAATCAACCTTTATAGAATACTCTACCCAACAGCAGCAGAATACATTATTTTCAAGTGCCCACCAAATAGGTACCAGAAAAAGACCATATCCTAGGCTTTAAAACAAATCCCAACAAACTTAAAAGAAGTGAAATCATATAATGTATTCTCTGACCAGAATGGAATCAAACTAGAAATCAATTAACAGAAAGATAACCAATAAAGCCCAAACATTGAAACTTATGCAATATACTAAATAATCCATGAGTCAAAGAGAAAGTCTCAAGAAAAATTTAAAAATACATTGAAATGAATGAAAATATACCATATCAAAATTAATAGGACACAACTAAAGCAGCAATGGTGGAAATTTATAGCAAATTTATAACCAAATGCATACAATAAGAGAAAAAGTCTCAAATCAATAATCTAAGCCCTCACCACAATTACCAAGAAAAGCAAAACAAATCCAAAGCTAACAAAAGGAAAGGAATAACAAAGACAAGAGCAGGACCAAATGAAACTGAAAACAGAAAAGCAAAAAAGAAGAATCAGTGAAACAAACTAATAGTTCTTTAAAAATAAAAATGACAAACATCTAACACAACTGACAAAAGAGAGAAGACACATATTACCAATATCAGGAATGAATAAAGGGTTATCACTACAGAACCTTGTATGCTGAAAACTATACAACACTGATGAAAGAAATCAAAGATCTAAATAAATGAAAAGGCACAGCATGTTCGTGGACTAGAAGACTGAACATAGTAAACCTAGTTTTCCCCAAATTGACAAACAGTACTCCTATCAAAACCCCAGCAAGATTTTCTCTGGATATGGACAAGATTATTCTAAAATTAAATGGAAAGACAAGGGAACTAGAATAACTAAAACGATTTTGAAAGAGAGGAATCGTCAACTTCAATTTCAAGATTTGTTATGTCACTATACTAACCAAGACGGTATGGTTCAGTTGAGGGACAGACATATAGATCTGGAAACAGATTATAGATCTGGAAACAGAACAGAATATACCAGAAATAAACCAACATAAATATGCCCAACTTACTTTTGCCAAAATTGCAAAAGCAATTTAATGGAGAAAAGATAGTCTTTTCAACAAATGAAACTGCAGCAGTGAACATCCACAGCTTAAAAAAAATAAACCTTGGGATCCCTGGGTGGCACAGCGGTTTAGCGCCTGCCTTTGGCCCAGGGCGCGATCCTGGAGACCCGGGATCGAGTCCCACGTCGGGCTCCCGGTGCATGGAGCCTGCTACTCCCTCTGCCTGTGTCTCTGCCTCTCTCTCTCTCTCTCTCTGTGACTATCATAAATAAATAAAAATTTTTTTAAAAAAAATAAATAAATAAACCTTGACCTCAGTCTTGTACTTTGTAGAAAAATTAACTCAAAATGGATCAAGAACGTATTAAGTCCATAAAACTATAAACATCTTAGAAAAAGAAAAAAAAAAAAAAAACAGGAGAAAATCTCCAGGACCTAGAGCTAAACAAAAATACTACAAGTATGATCCATAAAAGGAAAAACAGATAAACTGTACTTCATCAAAATTAAACATTTTTGCTCTGTGAAAGATCTTGTTAAGAACATAAAAAGACAAGTTACAGACTAAAGAAAATATCTGCATACCATATATCCAACAAAGGACTAATATCTGCAATATATAAAGAACTTATCAAAACTCCACAGTAAGAACCAAACAATTCAATAAGAATATGCGCAAAAAGCGAAACTCCAAAAGGATATACAAATGACAAACAGGTACATAAAAGATGTTCAAAATCATTAGGTATTAAGTAAATACAAATTAAAACTATGTACAATACGGTATTACTTCCACATCTATCAAAGTAGCTATCATAAAAACTAATGACCACACAAAATGCTGGCAAGGATAAAGAGAAACTAGATGATTCATATGCTCTGCTGGGAACATAAAATAGTACAGCCACTTTGGAAAACGTTTGGCAGTTTCTTTTAAAAACTAAACAAGCAACATCATATAACAATTCAGCAATTACATGTCTAGATATTACTTACCTAAGAGAAATGAAAAATATGTTCACCCAAAAACCTATACACAAAGTTTATACCAGCTTTATTCATTATAGTTAAAAATTAGAGAACAATTCAACTGTCCTTCAATGGGTGAATGGGTTAAACAAATTATGATATTTCCATTCCATGAACTACTAGTTAGCAATAAAAAGGAACAAAATGGGACGCCTGTGTGGCTCGGCGGTTGAGCATCTACCTTCGGCTCAAGAGTGTGGTCCTGGAGTCCCGGGATTGAGTCCCACACTGGGCTCCCTGCATGGAGCCTGCTTCTCCCTCTGCCTACGTCTCTGCCTCTCTCTCTGTGTCTCTCATGAATAAATAAATAAAATCTTAAAAAAAAAAAAGAATTATTGAATCATTATATTATATACCTGAAACTAATATAATACTGTATGTTAATTATACTTGAATTTTAAAAACATCTTTTAAGGGAAAAATATAGTTTTAGAGATCTTAAGCAATCAAAAATTTCTGGTACCTTCTCTCATATTCATTTCTAAGTACAAGTCATTCTAAATTAAAATAAGTGAAAAAGAAGCCCAGAAAGGCTCTGATTTTTCCCTGGTTATGATTTATGTTGTTCTTTTTATGTTAGATATTAAATTATTTTCCAAAAGGGAGCTTGGGTGGCTCAGGTCAAGATCCCCAGGGATCGAGCCCTAGGACAGGCTCCTTGCTCAGCAGGGAGCCTGCTTCTCCCTCTCCCT